CACACACACACACACACACACACACACACACACACACACACACACACTGTTGTTCAGTCTTAGCGTTTATATGCACATGACTCAGTCAATAAATAGTCCAGCACATAATTGCCCCCAAAAAAGGCATTCTCACTTTTACACTTCTAAATTTGTACGGATTAAACAAACCAGTTATAACATGTTTATTAATGAGCTTTAGATGGGCTGGTTGGCAGATGTATGTTTTTCAATCCTTGGACAGCAAAGCAAGTGTTACATCACCTTCTGTGACCCATCAGAACATGTGACCCAAAGAGGAATTTCAGTTGTAATGCCATCCTGCCGATGTTTCATCATACTTTGTCACATATTTTTGGTGTTACCTAAAATGGTGCTCCGTAGTATTTAGAGAGGGTCACACATTTTCATTGCTATAATAGCAGAAAGAGCCCTAACACTTTTTCATATAATTGTTCTTATAGCCCTGACGGGCCACTAAATCCAAAGCAAATGCAATAAAGTATGATGAAAACATATAGGAAGAAGAACTTCAGCTGAACATCCTGAGGTCACAAAGTCTGTCTGTAGCCTTTTAAATTTGACAGACAAACATGTCTTCAGAGAAGATGTGTATTTCCCAAAATTCCAAACTATTCCTTTAAGAGCAATCTATCAGACTATGTGGGAGGTATCCTGCAAAATGGCTTTGTGACAATTTTTTATTGTTAGCTTTGACATTAAGACAAAATGACAAAAACAGCCCGCTCTCTTTCCTACCGCTGATCTCAGCAGGTATAGGTTCATTCAGCTCCTCCACCGTCTCAAAGATCTTCTTGTAGCATGCAGCAGGATGCTCCACACTGGAGAGGGAAACAAAACCATGACTTTGAGGAGAACAATTCCACAACATAACCAAGTCTTAATACTTGTGCTGTATGAAACATTTAAAAACATTTGTTACTGTGAGGTTTGCCGTTTATCTGAAGACATTTATGTATTCCAAATGTAGGCTACAGACACTGATCAATGGGGTTCATGTAATGCAGATAAAAACCTGACATTCATCTATGACACCCCTCTAAATAATATTGAATTATGGGACGTTTGCTTCCAGTAATCCTGACCCTTATATGTTGACATTAGACCTGACAAACTACGCAGTAAAACATTACTTTTCAAGGTTTTATCGGGTCTCTCACTGCTGCAGCAATCACCGTATCTAGAATAATTTCTTCTTGTGTTCAGTTTTTTACAGTAAAAGAAGATCTTGTGGAAAACTAGAAAACGGACTCATTTTTTTTTAACAAGGAAAACAACAAACGTCACTGCGTGGTGTCTACAAGCTGCTTTCTCTTATTTCATTCCTGAGAAACAGTCAAATTGAAACCTTGAAAACCGATGTTAACAATAAGTTTCAAACATGCAAAACCATTTGAGAAAAGAACAAGAAAGTTTCACTCACTGGCGGGCCATGCTGCTGTAAGTTCCTCACACAGAATGTTTTTCTGCAGAAAGAGAGTCTGGCTTGTATTTAAACCACACACAGATTTCCTGCGGTGAGGGATGGAAATTGGGCCCCCTCCCCCTTTTTACCTCTCATCTACCCCCTTCTCTCCCCCCCCAATCCATCCTCTTTTCCTCTGCACCGCCGTCCCCTCCCGTTTCATGCCTTTTGCTCCCCTTCTCTTCCTCCTCTACTCTTCCCCTTCCTCCTCCTCCTCCAGTCTTTTACCCAAGAGCTGAACAAGCTAGCTTTGTCTCCTCTCCTTTCAGACGTCCAGCCATTGGCCTCATGCAGAATGTTCCCTGGGCCCCCGAATCCAGGTCTTTGTCAACCTGGGAGCACAAACACTCACAAACGGGCAGATGATGTGGGTCAAACTCATAAAGTCAGCTTTTAAAAAGCGGTGCGCTGGGGTCGCTGTTTGTACGTGGATTTACATGTAGAGGAATCCTGTCTAATTTGTTCCAGACCGCCTCAATAAACACTCAAAACTATTTTAACTGGCGCTCTGGAGGAGGAGACAGAGCAGCAGAGTTTTCTCTCTGGGAGGGAGAGAGAGTGAATGATTGACCATGTCCATTTCTTTAGTCATCCGTCATCTTTTGATAAATTACAGTTGAATAGAAGGATGAATTCAACTGAATGAATGCATTAGTAAAGGTTGAAAAGGAGCAGCAATCTGTCTTCTCGTGTTTGTGTGTTGCTGCTGAATGCAGGTTAAACTGATGCCTGTAAATAAACAACTGAACAAAGTAAAACTATTGTGTGGATTGTCATTTGTACAGTCAGTCATGTTCCCGAGAGGATTGAAAGTGAAAGCCTTTGGCAATCCCCCCGAGGTCGACATTTGTGGTTTTGAGTGGAATGTCATACGAACTATTCGGTGTACTGCCGTGACATTTGGGTCGGACTTTAATGTTCCCCTCTGGATGAACTGTTCTAACTTTGATGATCCACTTAACTTTCCACCTGGCGTTGTCTCGAGGTCAAATCTGCAGTACTCGGTACTCGGATCAGTTCAGCTCAGTCATGAACACTTGATTTTTAAAAACATGAATTAAAAAAAAGGCCTGACTGATGCTGAAAGAAAGTAAAAGATAAACCGAATGAATAAAATCAATGAAAACAAACAAGTACATTAAACATCCATTTAATTCTGCAGACCTACTAGACTTTAAAAAAAAGCATCTTTCAAAGTGTAATAGACAGATTAGTGGGACATTTTGGGCGAATAAGCAGTTTAGATCATTCGATTTAACGGTAAATAAAATGGAGAAACACCAAATACCAGTCACAAGTTTAGTACCTGGTGTAGTATACAGTATGTGCAGAGTATTTATGGCACATCACACACATCCTTTCACACAAACAGGACAACGGCATATAAATAGAACGGCTGAACAGATTTATTTCCCAGGACTTTGCATAGTAAACAATGGAGAGGAAGAGTAGAACTGTGTGGGAGTACAACATAACACCTCCATGGAAAAGCCAAAAAAAAAACACTGCTGATGAGTGCACATATGGTCACACACACACACACCATCTGATCTGAGGTATAGACAAACATATCAGGGAAGAACTAATACTTCATATAAGACACATAAAAAAAATTCAATTCTAAGTCAAACCTGTTCCTTCAGACACTTGTAATAATATGGGTTGTGTATTGCACTTCTGTCTACTAACTACCTGTTGGCACCCATCAGGGGAATGATGGACACCAGCTTCTTTCATTAGAGGCAATAGGTTCAGCAAATAGCCACTTCACTGCCTTCAAATGAGTCATGAGGTTGTATTTATAAGCATCAGCAACAATTTACTGAAAATATGCCGGTGTCTGGTGAAACCTTCTGTAGGGAGGCTAATAAGCATTAAATACGTATAAATTAACTACTGTTATTATTGGCATACGCTTACTGGCAATTTACAATGCCTACATCCAGTGCAGAGATATTTATGTATCCAATAACCTAAATATAGATGGGTTCAAGATGAGACACACAAACAGAAACTGGGAAGGACAAACTCCATTTAAATTGAACTGAGTTATGTCTGAAAAATCTGAGATACTGAAAATCTAAATAAACTCAAACACTAATGTAAAAGTCCTTTAAAAGCACACCACACAAAAAAGCAACAAAATGACAAGAATGGAATTTTTGAGAAAAAGGTTCAGCGTCACTAGTTTGTTTCAAAGAAAACTCGAGATTCTAGAATATATATTTATAAAAAACAAGAGACACCTCAAGGAAATACCTTTCTATCACTGCTCCCAATGCCATCAGGCAAATGAATGAAGGAAACTATGATCTAATTATTCACATATGGACCGGTGATCCTAAAAATGACACATTATTTGTCTCCCAAAATGCAAGCCTGCAATCAGGCTTGTTCGCACTGGTTCGCTTGTTCGCACTGGTTCACTCACTCACACTCTCACACTCTCACACTCTCTCTCTCACTCACACACACACACACACACACACACACACACACACACAGGTCAGTATCAGCTAGGAATAGAGGTCGGCGATGGGAAAAGAAAACACAGATGTTACTCAACAAAAACCTGCTTCACTAAAAAGGTTAGATTTGAAAACAGTAATCAATGTGAACGGCTCCAGGAAGCAACTGTGTCTACCTGCCTTTGTCTTAACACGCACGCGCGCGCACACTTCCAGTCTGCATTAACTCTCACATCATGACATAAATGAGACACAACAGGATTCACTTCCAACGCAACAAGAAAGAGTTCATGGCTGCAAAGATCGGTGGATTTTCCGTCTCTCTTGGTATCAGTGCAGCTTCAGTGCAGTGAGAATGACTGTGGCTTCTGTAGTGGTGGACAACCTGTATGGTTAGCTCAGTTCCTGATGCTGAACACTTTGGTCTTCCTGATGTTGAAGAGAGGAGGTTTAATCTTTGGCTTGTCGGTCTTGTTTTCCCTGTCTGAGGAGGGGAGACGACGGCTGTAGATGTCCGGGTACTGCTTCTGAAACTTTAGCAAAGACAATAAAACTCATGACTTATGGACTGACTTTCCCTTTCTAAGTTAAGCTGCCAGTATGCTTCAGGAGAACTGCTTGTTGGGACAGTTGCATTGCGTTTCTGTTACCTGCTTCAGTTTCTTGCGGCGGTCCTTCTCACTCATGTTCTGGTCGGTCAGCAGCATCTCCAGCAGCTCCTCCATGGCCTTCTGGGAAGTTGCCAGCTTTTGCTGTTCAAACTCGGCGCCGCTAATCTGACGGCAGAACGCGTAGATGGGCATCGGAACACACACCAGATCGCCGCCATTGACGTTGGAAACGCCATCGATCGGGACCTGGGGCCGGGAGAGAGGAAAAAAACAAACATCTGTATGTCTCTGATGTGCTGTATCAAAGGAGATGAAGCCAAAAATCACACTTTGCCGACAAGATAGCCATCTCTGTTTTTATACTGTGCATGTACAACTAACAATATATTTGTGGATGTGGTTTCAGGGCGCATATGCTGTGACAGTTTATGGGAGTACCTGTACATCGCGCAGGTACTGTATATGGTCGCTGATGGCACTGAGCAGGTACTCTGGGACAGAGAGGATGCTTTGTTGATGGTCCAATATGAATGAAACCAGCCTGGTAGCCAACAGCTCGTCCAGATCGCACTCCACTGCGCTGCCCAGGACACAGCCCGAAAACGTGTGAACCATCTAGAATGAGAACCACGACAAGGAGATAAAGAGACAGGAAGGGAATTGGTGTAATATGGGAAACATATGAAGGTCTTGAACTGAAAAGAAAAAGATCGCTCCGTCCGTTTTGTGCCTCACCAGTGTTCTGGTGCCGATGGCCGGGTGGAGGCGGGGCATGTCTACGTTCTCGCTGATGCGCGACATCATCCTCATGAGGAGCTGCAACTTCCTGCGGGAGGTGGGGGGGAGGAGGAGGGTGCAGAGCTGCAGGGCCTCGATGGCCACACGCTCACAGTGAGGCTGAAGAAGGCCTATATACACACACACACACACACACACACACACACACACACACACACACACACACACACACACACACGCACACGATGAGGATGATGATGATGGAGACAGGTGAGGTCTGGAGTGCAATCAGCACAGACACAGACAGCGGTAGAATCACTCTTTGTGATTCATCCATCACTGCTACATCATATTCAATAGATGAGACAAATAAATGGATGGATGGATGACGGAATTAATCAACTACAGCTACAGATGAGTCAGGTAAGATATAAAAACAAAATAATGTATTGTAATATGCTATTTAAAAGCTTGTGCACTCCTGTGAAATATGCAGCTAGAGCCAATTCTTTCTTTGTTTACTGGAACTTTAGAAATATTAAACAACAGACCCCCAAAAAGTGAAATCATAGTCTGCACCTCTCTCAACTCAGATCTCACCTTTTGAGTTCAACAGGAGTCGTATTTACGAGTTCAAACCCTCGCATACCAGCAGTGGTTAGATGTTAGTTTGATTAGACAACAACAGACAAGCAGACAGGTAGAGAGGAGAGAGGGGTCTTACTGTGCTCGGGTTTGGGTTGGGGGTGCAGGGAGATGCTGGTGGGCACACAGACAGGTGGTTTGAACAGTGAAACGGGTCGAGGCGGCTTCGACACATCCAGCGAGCTGATGCAGCGGCGGACAACAGCGGGCGGGGGGAGCGTCCAAAGATCGGAGGTGCTGGAGGCGGGTCTGGGTCCCGCAGTAGCACGAGACCCTCGGGCTATGGCCGAAGCGGATGAGGAAAAAAGATGATAGGAGGAAAAGGAGGGAAGATGGGGATACAACGAGGGAGGACGTGAAGCCGAGGAGAGATGATGGCCCGCGGGAGTGTTCACGTTGAGGCAGCTGGTTGCTCGACCCGGCAACTTGGACTCGTTGACGTCTTCCTCCCTGGTTTCTACAACAATGTCCAGACAGCTGCCTGCGCTGCGAGGCCGAGATGAGCGCCACCGGTGTGCCGCCGACAGACCCGCTACCGGAAGTCTGGTTCTGATTGTAACTGCTGGAGCATTCTCACAAGCAGTGCTGTCATCGTGGTTGGTGTTGCTATAGGCACAGGATGCCAGGCTGTCATTGGACAGGAACAGCCGTTGCCTGGTGAGAGGGGCGAAGTCATCCAGGACAGTTTCCAGCGAGCAACTCTTGGTTTGAGGCCTTGCGAAACCAACCGTGCTCAGACTGGTGCAGCTGCCTCCTAGCTGTCCGTTGCCCCCGCTGGCGACGCCTCCTTTCAGCGCTGCCAGCCGCGACTGCAACGTCCCACCGAGCACCTCGGTCATCGGCGACTCGGCCTCGTCGCACGTCCCATGCCTGAGCAGCGACAGCAGCAGACACTCTGTGGAGCGGAAAGAGGTCTTGGCTGGAGGGGGTGCCGAGGGGAGGTCGGGCTTCTTGCGTTTCCCGCGTTGGTGCGTCGCGGGTGCCGCAACGTAGCCGCAAAACACTGAGAGCGGAAGCACAGAAAAGGAGAAGAGACGAGCAGGGGGCAGGCATAGCCTCAATGCAAGCAGACGGTGAAGAGGAGAGGGAGAGGGGTTTAGTTATTTCAAACGTTTACTGTACACACAGAGAACCATCAGCTGATCAGAGACGACACATAACGGGCATGGACACAGAGTACAGTTGCTCATGATGCTGTTAGGACACAACAAACAGAAGTGACAACAACCAAAACCTCCGTTAGCAGTCAAAAGACACCGTTAAGGGGTCAGTTATTTCCCTGTAACACAGCAAGCCTCTGCTAGAACTAAGCCTCTTCATTAAAAGCACTTCCGTTTAACTGCTGTTCCAGGATCAGAAATAAAAGCCCACTGAATATTGGTCCACCGTGCTCACCCAGGACGTTGATAAACAGTTCATACAGTTCGTACGTGAGTACGGGCTGCGGAAGGCTGTAGAAGTAATCAGACACCGTTTTGAAGACGTCTCTCTCGAAGCCAGGGTAGGACGGCTGTGCGCTGTCGTACTTCGGCCCTAGAAACAGACAGCAGGTCAACGCAGCTATGAGAGGGAAGGATACGCTTCAAATTACATACAAAATCCCAACACAGACTTATGTAGGAGTTTACATTGTCTAACTTTACATAGAATTCTAAACATTAAAAGAATTTGACTGATTGTTCACTGAGATTCCTGCGAATATGCAGTACATAAAGTAATGCTGTGATGGCATTTAAATGTCAAGATGTAGGTGTGGAAAATCGATGAGTCAATCAAAAAAATATGTAAAACTCACACTTGGCCAGGCTCTTCATGGCAGACAAAACCCAGTGTGGGAGGTCGTCTGGAGAGATGATTAACAAGTTATATAAATGATGATTTTTATGCTTTCTGGTGATGGAAACGTGTTTTTCTCGCTATATAAACCTACTGGTTTTGTCGTCCAACGTGACCACTCCGTGCTTGTTGACTTTGGTCATATTATGGATGATGTTCTGTGGGTTTACATGACGTTGGTCTAAAACCTCATCAAGAGATGAGACGCCCAGAATCCTCTGCAGGCTGGAACACAACACGCAAGGTTTAGTGACATAAATAAAATCCTCCTCGCCGATTACTAGACGTCAACCTTTGCTTTGGTCTCACGCAACAACTTTTTTCTCCCAAAGTATTCTATAAAAGGAAACGTGTGCTTCCACTGTGTGACAAACTTGTAAGGTCTGTGTGTCTTTAAAAAGTGAAGGGTTCGTACTGGGTCAGGGTGATGTCTCTCCAGATCTCCTGTTCATCCTCCACCGTTAGCACTCGTCTGGGCACCTGCTGCTCTCCAGCTGGAGGATTCTCTCCTCTGGCTTCAAGGGCCGGGTCTACGTTTTCCTGGAAGCCACAAACGGAGCATGAACCAAACTATTTAGACCTTTATAACGACAACTGTAAACTGGTGCCTGGCTGCCAGCCTGGCACTACTTTTTAAACGTTGGTGATGAGCCCTGCACAGATTCAATAATCTATGTCCGGTCTAACTCACCCGGGCCTCTTTCTCCTGCTGCTTCTTGATGTGTCTGAACCTGAAGAAACTGTCCTTGTCCCTGAACGAAGGCCTCTTCTTAATGGAGCCGGGGGCCGAGCCTGAAGCGGGACATGGAATGGGCTTCAGGGGGGACGTGGAGGGGAATCTGGGGGGCAGAGAGGACAAGAGTGTGTAGTTCTGTGTGCCTTTTTAAAAAAAAAAAAAAGATTACAAAGCAGGTTTCTCCAAAAGCGCTGCCTACCTGTACAGCACGTTGTTGTCCTCCAGATCCTCCGCGCCCCAGCGACCCTTCACATCTTCGATCACATGGTTTTTCAGGAACTTCTTCAGGAGCTGCACCGTCTGCTGCCGGGTGACATCGGGGCCGAAATTGCTGTTGCTACGCAGCAGCTGGTGCATCCACTCCACGGCGGCAGAGGCGGTGAAGCAGGAGGCGTAGTGCCGGAAGTTCTGCCGGTGTTTCCTAAGAGGCATACCAGCCCGGAACAACCGAGTCACCTCATTCCACTGAAACAGAGGAGGTGAGCAACTGGTTCATGTACAGCAGAAGTTAGGTCACTAACCAGTTTAATTTGAAAGGTCAGACTATGAGTCCTGAGGGACAATCCTGAATCATGTCCTTGTCTGAGCACAGCGCTGAGACAAAGGATCACGACTCCAGCGACGCTTGTAGAATAAAGGACGCATTTATTACGACTATTTACCACTTTGGAAGCCCGTGAAGCTTAATTTCTTTGGTTTGTCAACCTGATTGTCAGATTAAAAACAAGCAAATCGAAGACATGACCTTGTTTTCAAACTTCCATTATCTTCTGACATTTCAATAAAAGAGTAAAGGATTGATGGACAGTGAACAGCTTGTTCAGTTACAGCCCTGGAAGACATATCAGAGCTGTGTGATCATATTACATGATGCAGTATGTAGCATCAGCTGGCTCACTTCTATGAGTTGAAGGTGTGTCAAAACAAGTTAAAGCTTCTTACATAGAGAGAGTAACTGTAATTCACTGTCAGGAAGCTGGACTGCTATGTTTTATTAGCTTCGTTTTTAATTGAGGTGATATAGAGAATATTAAGTAAAAATACGTTTGATAACGATTGATAATGACGAATAAAGCTATTTCGGCACCTTCGGAATGATAAATATTTCGTGTTTTTTAGACTAAAACATGACTCGGTTGGCGAGTTCAGGAAGCTTGGTGACGTTACATGCACGACAGTCAAAAAATGGTTTTATGCAGCAAAGTATTGGAGAAGTGAACCATGTAACGCTAACTTCGCTGGATGAATGTTAGTTAGCAGGAAGTAACCATGATAAACACTCTTGTATCATATCATCTAACCCCGCGAGAAAGTGTAATGTTACTTTAAAGACGGCTCACAGTTATAGCGTTGCTGTTGAAGATACATTCTCGCATGAATTAGCCAGCAGTTAGCCCTCGTTAACGTTAGCTAGCTCACAACTTTATTAACCTACGTTAACTTACCAGTTTAGTGGCCCGGTAGGGTCCGGGGGAGATAACACGAGAACTCATATCCATCACAACAAAGACAGCGCTAAAGTGTTCCCTTCATCCGATGTGAGAGGTACAAATATCCATTACTTGGAGGAGGATGTATTTAACCGATGTTTTGCTGCCCCAGATTATGAATGGTAGCATTGATGATACGCGGCTCTGCCTGGCTGCTCACCGTCTGTTCAAAATTACGAGCCGTGTCCATGGGGCAACGGGATTGGTCGACGCACGAGCCACGTGATCAGCCTCGAAGTGAAGATAATCCTTTTACAGTCTACGGCAACAATGAAGGCAGACGGCACAAATACGCTTTTTACTGTATGTGCTTTTAAAAAACAAACAAATTGAAGGTTGTCAAATATGCAAGCGTTTACCTGTTTAGACGACTTTTCTGTTCTTACAACTAACTTTCTTAAACGCAGTTTGAAAGCAACAGTGTCAGCAATGTAGTCAACTCTATTTTATTTACTGGCGTGCGCGCGCGAACACGCACACACGCGCGCGCGGAATTAATATTAGCATATCTTTAAAGGCCTTTTGTGGGGATTATACTCATCATTTAAAGGCAGAAATGGTGGGGGGTCAGACAAAAAGACAGTGGAGGTTAGAGACATTTCCAAATGGATAGATACTGGGAGGTTTGACTCAAACCACTGCTGTAGTCATGCTAATGTCTGCAAACAGATACTAAAACCATTAATCTAGATTTCTGTTTTAAAATCCCTCCTAATATGTTTCAAACATAAAAACATAAAAAGAAAGAAGAATAAGGCCAATTACCTTGTGAAATGTTAAAAAATCTAGAATTTGTAATTCTGCAATAGTTAATTAAAAAAGTTAAACTGATGTTAGTATAACTCACACTCAAAAGTGAAGGTTTTAACTTTCCATATCACACTTGCACAAGCTGCATATTGGAACAAGGTGTCAAAATGCCACAAAGTCACGCTCGTCCCAACACGCCTTGAATTCAGATTTACAGTACAGAAGAAAGAAAATTTCCCTCTTCAGCAATTAAATGTGAAAACAGCCTGCTAACTCTGCACATTCATCATTCTGCACAGCGAAGCTCAAACATCAAAATGAAGTAACTGTTTTTTTCCAAGAGCACACCATTTGAGATTCACTCTCACTTGAGCAGCTGTGGTAGTTTGCAGCTCATCAAAACTCAGGGAAAAACAGAGGAACCCAAATAGGAATCATACGGATAGAAGGATGAGGAGCAAATATGTTTTGGGGAGTACGGAAGCCAAGAACGCCATGATTGCTATTATTTTTTTTATGCTGTTAACGCAGTGTTGTCTCCAGATCACAAGTAAAATGATCTTGTTTTCTTGTGATAACAGGTTCATTTATGTAGATTCTCAAGAAAACAAAAGGCTGATTTCTCAAGATAACCATATCAATTGTCAGAAGAAAACAGCTTTTTTTCCCTCAACATCTCAGGATAATGCTAATTATGATTTGATTATGATAATTAACTTTTTTGCAGCCGGCTAATCTCCTTAAATGAGGGGGACTGATCTGAATGTAATGTCCACCAGAAAGACACAAACCCAATCTGTACTCTTCTTAGACCTTGATTGATGTTCAGTCGGACATTTTCATCTTAAATCAGTTGCTATTTGTCAAGACGTCATCAATGCTTGCTGGCTTGGCACTCCTGATTATCTGGTTGATTATCTCGAGACAAAAGCTCCTTTTCCCGAGATAACAACATAATTAAGTGACATAATTAAGCGGAATAAAAAACAAAAAAAATTGTAAGTGCGGCAGTGCTCGGCTTCCATAATGGAGAATAACAACTTGTGATTATGCTATTTGCAGTAAATTATATTTTTCAGTAAATTATATTTTTCACTCATGTCATTTGACTTGAGGCAGCGTCACACTACGTGATGGTGATTTGAGTGATATAAGGTAGTCTTTCTGTATGTTTTGCTATGTTGATCCCATTACTCAATGATCACTGTCTCGTCTCTCTCGCTCTGTGTCTGCTGGCATAATCTTCTCCGTCGGCTCCCTGATTGCTGCCAAGCTGTTTCACCTGCTCCAAGCCACACACCTGCAATCAATCAACTCATCAGCCCTGCAGTATTTCAAACCCTGCCTCTTCACACGTCCATTGCCACATCATTGTCACAGATGCTGCAATAAATAAAGCTTCAGGCCGCTGTAGTTGTTTGTGTTTTCTGAGAATTATTCCTTGTGTTGTATGTGAGCCTGAGCCCCGTTTCTCGTACGTGGTTCAACTAAATCGATCAAATGTCCTATTAGCCAGTTTAAATTAACCTGATGATTGAAGTCAGGCTATCTCGGTTTCTCAAAGGCTGATCCGTGCTCAAACAATCTTGTTAATTGCCCGTCCTACTTCAAAAGGGGGAAGCGTCGATCACCGAAACCATGATTTTCTAACAGTAAAATGGCAAATCGACTCAAAGAAAGAGCCCATTTTTACTCCGCTGACGAGCAGGAGATGATCATGAACGCTATGAGGAATTCAAGACCGTAATCACGGCAAAATCTAACACCGCCACCGCTGCGAGGGCTAGACAAGAAGCATGGCAAAATATCGCAGGCAAGTTAAATGCCCAAGTGTTGGGGAAATGTATCGGCTAATTTTAAGTGCCTCATCACCCCAATCAATCAGATTATATGTCTTTAAATGTGCCTGCTGGCAGTAGGCTTAATGGAATGCATCATCCAATGAGATCTTGCTGGCGAAAATAATTATCTCAACTCTTTCAGAATAAATGGATAAAAACAAGCCCACAAATTATCTAATTGATACGAATTAATTTGAGGATATATGTACTGTATGTGCTTATGTGTCATGTACTATATATGTCTATATACATGTATGTGTAGATTAGAACTCGGAGTTTGAATATGTGTGTGCGAATCTCTGTATGGGCGGATCAGTATGTATGTATTATTCAGAATCAGAAATTCAATCAATTGAAGCAGTATCATGAGTCCAGCTTAATCATTTTCTCCAATAATGATATGCTATGGAATACTAATAACACTTTCACATAATTATGAGTGCTTTCAACCCCTATGTAGCTGCAGCCATCAAGAGGACATGGGAGCAAGTAAAAACTAAGCACAAAAACATTATTCAGAATGGTGAGTCGATACAATATGTGCCATGGTAATGTATTGAACAGCTTGTCAGTGTCATATCCTTCATATTTTAAAAAACAAAAAGAGGGCTGATATGGTCAAGACAGGGGGAGGACCTAAGACTCCAGATTTGACTCCTGCTGAGGGGCTGGCACTCCAGCACAATAGGGGTAGGCCCATAATGGGCATAGCTGGGGGCAGCTCCTCTGGAGAGGTGGGCAGTTCATTCTATGAGTTTACTTCATAATTAGTCATTTGGTTAACCATCGTTGCATTGTGGGAGATTGTGGCTAAGTGGATAGCAGGGCTCTCTTTCAATCAGAGGGGCGGTGGTTCGAACCCCACCTCCGCTAGTCGTAAGACACTTGACCCCAAAATTGCTCCCGTAGCTGTTCCTACGACGTAGAAATGTGATAGACTCTGAATTGTAAGTCTCTTTGGATAAAAATGTCTGCTAAATGACTGTAATGTAATTTTGCAGTGGCTGGACCTTCGGTCATATTGCTGCAGCCACCACCCATAGTGTTGGTCGGAGGAGAGGAGCCCACTGATAAGTACTAAGTTGATATTGCTGCATCATTGTGTAATGATTCTATACATGTTCATTGTGTGTGTCTTTTAAAACCAAAGACAATCTTCCAAAGTTCCTAATTCACTAACAGGAGGCCAGTCCAGGTGATGAGGAGACTGTGTCGGCGTTCTCCGGTGATGTTGTGGAAACTAATACTCCTATCCAACTCACTCCTTGTGAGTGGTATTTGGACTACATCAATGCATTCCTTTAGGCAAATCCTGCTGGACCACGGCCTGATCCGCCGGAGCCTGGCCCCTCTCACTGTGCTGGGGATGGGGATGGGGAGGTGAGTTCTCATTTAATACCCTCACATTGTGAGGGGGGGGGGGGGTCTGAGTTTAGTTGGCATCTGACCACCACACTGAACAAAGTTATGAATGGCTTTCTTGTCTTTTTTTTCAGGTTGACCATGAAGATGTGCGGACGCTGTACAAGCGGTACTTGCGTACAGAAATTGCTTACCGCCAGCTGAAAATGAGGAAGATCCACAAGGAGATTGCATTGCTTGATCGGCAGCTGGATGTAAGTGTAACCATGTAAAGCAAAGCTTTGCCTGAAGTATTTGTGAGCTTTGACATGAATTGTAACTGAACTGAAATTCTTATTTCTTGTGCACCTTCATTTACAGGCTGACCAATAGAGTACAAATAAAGGCTTTCTTCTACAACATGGATCTCTTAAATTATTCTTGAACATGTTCCTCTATTCAGAATTCTTTTTATTGCCAAGTATACTCTCATATACAGGACATTGACTTGGCGATGTCGAAGAACTCTTTCCCTATAAAACGCTAATCTAACTAATATCGCTCCTTCATCAATGGGATCTCTGAGGAAGGGAGCTGCCATTTTTATCCAGCTAACTTAAGTTAGCCTGCGCTGGAGCAGGTTTAAGTTTATTTACTTTACGCTTTGCTCTAGTTAACAATTTAATCATAAACGCATATGAATGGCCATGACACACCGAAAAAATTCACACTCACAAAAGCATGGTCCCTGGTGGGTGTCCTCCACCACTGGGCCATTTATTTAATTTCATTAACTTGCATAGCTGGGAAAGGAAAAGCTTTGCCGTCTGAAAGTTGTGGGTTTAAATCCCACATGAAATGTTTCTGTTTTACTTCCCTCAACCATCAGAGGACTGTTTCTTAAAGGTGTCTCTTGTTGGGGGGGAAGCATCACTTGAATGAACCAGGATCAGTCTGTTTCCATAAAGACACTTTATTTTTATTAAGTTTATCAAAATGTCTCGGAGGAAGAAATCCTGAGATCGCATGTTTGGTTCTTCTTTTAGGATGAAGACTAACACATTTTTTTTTTTTTATCAGCTTTCCTAACTTGTGAAGTGACTCATATCTCAGCTGAGTTGTATCCGGGCTGCTGATGGATGTCACACTGATGATGACAATAAAGGTAATCAAAGATCTTTTGGGCAAATGGCAGAATAATATTAATGTATCCATAAGCAATACTTTGGGGTGAAGGCCTGACTATGATTGTTACCTCAAATAAACCATGAATAAAATAGTATTTGCTCAAATGAGAAGACAGAAGAAAAAGGTTTTCTTAACCATATAGACATCCAATAGGGCACCTTTGTAGTGTTTTTTTTTTGCGGGGGCATGTTATAAGCAATGTGATCTCCACCCTTCAGTATAACAGACACTATGATGATCATTTTATCAGTATCAAGCAGTTGCCTTAATTTTAGTATTGTGCTTAAGAAGCCCACAATTTTGAGGTACTTGTTATCAACTATCCTACATTCAAGAGGGAACTGTTATCTGGCAAGATATAGGCCTGCTGCTTTTTTGGCAGACTAATATTTGACAATTATATATTTTGTAAAGTTGGTTAGTTCAACTCAGCGATCCTCGGAGGAACATTACAATGTTATTTATTCTTCAAGCCTTGGTTTCTGATTTCAGAGGAAGGCTGCGTCTTTGTCATAGTAAGTAGCTACATGGTCTCTCTAAAAGAGTGCCGTGACCCGGATTCGAACCGGGGTTGCTGCGGCCACAACGCAGAGTACTAACCACTATACGATCACGGCGAGCTGTACGTCAGGTACAAGTAGACGGTCGGAAGAGATGCTTCGATCCTATGGATAGTGGACACATCTTGTTTTAAAACATTTCCTAACGTAATGAAGTATTATTAATATGTGTATTACACATGATGTTAAACCCGAATGATACATAATATAATAATAACTTTATTTATATAGCACCTTTAAAAACACAGTTTACAGAGTGCTTTAACAGGCAAATGGAGCAAGCTATGTAAACCACTCATGGGCTCTACTGTCTACTATACGTACATTTTGAATAATTATATCTTAGTTCTGTTCTTAGCATTGTTTTGGTTTTAGGTGGAATGTGGTAATTTTAGCGAGATAATAGAAGTAGTCCTTTGGCTTTAGTGTCTAAAAACAATATCAGAGGGACACAGCTTCGCATTTTTGTCTCTCATGCTATGGGCGTGGCTTGTGGCAGTTTAAAAACGTAGTCTTAAAGCGATTGGTTAAAAACCGTGTATTCGTTCGGATTCGATCTGTTCTCTTTACCAATTGGACAAGAGATCGCCGCCCTCGCTTGTAATTGGCTGATTAAACAGCGCGACCCAATTTCAAATGAGATCGCTCGTCATCCAGTGTGTTGTTGAAGGAAGCGTGTTTGAACGTTTGCTAGTCGGCTAGTATCGGAGCAGCAGTCAACATTAGTATCAGCGCACGTGCTAACGTTAAACGTTTTAAAAAAACTAAATGCGTAACATGTAGCGCGCTATTAGCTACCGCTACTTTATTCATTTGAAATGGCTGAAACGGAAGGTTCAGCGCGGAGAGGAGTTCTGGACTTCAGTCCAGTAAGGAGAGACAACGCTAACAAGGAAAACGATGTTCCAGTTTTGATCCTGACCCTGTTTTCAAAGGCTCCCTTTGTGACATTCGGATCGGTGAAGATGGGCACCTCCAAGTCTGTTGTTCTGCGCATCGAGAACCCCACGGAGGACGCGGAGGCGGAGGTTACTGTTGAGAAGATCCCCTCGAGTAAAGGCTTCTCTGTGGACCGCAACACGTTCACGATCCAGGTACGTTCTGAGCTGTTAGCTAGCAACTAGCGTCACACTAACGGGGGGACACGACTCCCCGTAACGTTACATGTCCCGCAGAGACCGTAAACCAGGCTGCTGTCATGCTCGGGAGCTTCGTTGAGCAAATAATACCGACACGTTAACACTTTATTATTATTATTATTATTATATCGCCTTATTTCACACAGTTGTATACACATATATACGCTTGATGACTGTTGTGGCTTCCATCGTGAGATTCGTGCCGTTGTTCCATATCTTGCTTTGTGTTCTTCAGCCGGAGGACTCATTCAGTTTGACGGTAACATGGACTCCGACAGAAGAAGGTGGGATCAGAGAGCTCATCCTCTTTAATGCCAACGGGCTCCTCAAACACCAGGCTGTGCTGCTGGGGAGAGCAGAAGCACCCAAAAAGAAAAAGGTGAATGTCCACTGGTACAGTCACCCAAACAGATGGCTGTGTGGATTATTAATCAGTTAATTAATTGGCATTTAATGAGTAGGCAACAGTTTTGAAACTCGATCAATGGTTGAAGAAGTTTTCTAAGTAAAGAAAAATATATAAAAACGAAATGTCTCAAGTGTGAAAAGGTGCTGCTTTTTCTTGCCTTTTATTATAGAAAGTAAAATATTTTTTATGTCATTAACTTTCCCTCTCGGAAATGATGATGGGGTCATTCATTTTCTGATCTCATACAGACGCAACAATTAATAGCAATACCCATAATTGGGAGACTGATACATCATGAAAACAATGAGTTATGTTTTCAGCCCAAAATTCAGGCCTAATTTGGTCGATTGGTACTTGGGTAAATCTGGCACAAGTTCCCGTTCAAACACAATCAGGGAGCCCAAACAAGTACATCTAGTACTGTAATTCTGACACGGCATGTATACATTTTATGTTTTTCTTTTGTGTTTCAGAAAAGCTTATGGGACACGATCAAAAACAAAAGGGAGGGTGAAAAAGTAGCCGCACCAAGGAGAATGAAGACAGGACAACCATTGAAGATGGCCGCCAATAAAACCTTCCAAGTGTCCCGAAAGCCGCAGTACAAACGGGAAAAGCCACGCAGCCCGCTCGCCTCTCTCAATGAGGGCAAAGCCGTCAGAGAGAGATCCGTCTCCAAGCTCAGTCCAGCCGACGAGTACTTTCGGAAATCGGATGAGATGAAGGCCTTGAATTCCACCCAGAGGCAACGGTCTCTGGCTTTGTCGGTCCAGGAGAACGTCCATCGTCTTCAGAGGAACTCTCCTCTTGTCCTGCTCGTCCCAGCCGGAAAGCCGATGGACTCTGGCCACATGTCTGCAAGCCCAGACGCAAACCAACCCGACAGCAAAGAGCTCCCCAAAATGCTCAACAGGACGCTGTCACCTGTCGGGACGCCCGACGTGTTTAAGAAGCTCATGCCACGTATTCAGTCAGATGGCCCACTGTCTGCAAATAATGTGGCCGATGCCGGCGGTGCGCTAACTGGCCCCCCGGTTCCCTCTTTGAAAGATGCACTGGCCCTCATTGACTCTGATCTGAGCCACATTAACGCCAGTCCTCGGGACACTAGTTCGAGCTGCAGCTTTTCAGATTCACTAGAGTCCAAGAGTGGGAATCACGGCCGTGGAGCTGACGGAAATGTCCTCAAGGCGTTACCCGACAGCCTGCAGGGGTCCGAGTCCAGTGAGCTGAGACTTACGTTCTTTGTCAGCAAAAAAGTTGTTTGTTCAGACAACGATGACGCGATGGCAGGGTTCAAAAAGGCCTCTTTTACCTCTGCCACGGTGACCAAGAGCAGGGCACCAGTGGAGGCAAACCATTCGAGTGGAAGGAAAATAAAGAAGTCAAGGCGACGGCTTTTGGAGAAAACACTCGAGCTGTCTGACGACAGCAGTCGGTGCGAGTCTGGACCGGTCACTCCGAGCCTTCCCGTCATAGACCCCGACACAGAAACCGAGGGAGGGCAAAGCTTCCAGATAGATAACAGACATCAAGTCCAGGAAGCTGCTTCCTCCAGCCTGACTCTGCGGCCCGTCTGCTCGCCCACACCCGTCACCTTCCCCGTCACCTCCCCCCCATCTATGGCCCCGGCTCGCTTCTCTTTCCCAGCCACTTCCACGCCTCCTGCGGCCTCTGCTTCCGTCACTTTTGCAGTCACCCCGCTACCGTCGCCCCTGGGCTCATCCTCTCCCCTGCACAGCAGCTTCACGCAGCACGCGTCTCGGACTCTGTCGGTGCCTCTGTTTGTCCAGGAAGACTCATTTCCCATTCACGTGGCCGCGAAGAGCAAGAAGAGGAAGAGCGAGGAGTATTTGAAGAGCGAGGACGCCGGGAAAGCGGAGCGCGTCAAAAGGAGCAGGGTGGTAGCCGGAAAAACTGAGCCGCCACGGTCAGCGCAGGAGAGGAGAAGTGCATCACAGAGGCCACAGCCGAGGGCAGCAGGTGAGCAGATGAGCAGATGTGATGTTAAGATATGTGATGAACCATTATGTTTTATAGTAGTATCTAGAACATACTGTAGATGTTGTTTCTTCTGTTTCAGGCCTGCATATTAAATTCAGTGTCGGCAATGATTGGAATGCTTTCCAAAACTATATAGGAACTTCTGTGTTTCATACCTGCCATGTTCCTGGACCCTCTGGATTTACTATGATGCTTTTTTTTTTTTTTTTTTTTTTTTTTCCCCTTCAGACTCTGTGCGATCAATGACTTCATCCTCTCTAAAGACTGCGAGGTCTGTGCTTCCTGCCCAGGCAAAGCAATCGAGCTCCAGACTCTCCTCACGAGGTATAAAATGATGTTCTTGTCGTGACGATCTGTCTGGGAGTTTTGCCAACATGAATATGTGATGAACTACAAAATTACCTTTTTTGTCTATTGTTCACAGGGTCGTGTGTTATTTCATCTGTTAAGACTGCAAAAGTGGTTGCTGTTGCGCAGTCAAAATTGACCTTTATTAAGCCGACGCAAACAGGTATTTGATCATTTGTGGTGTAGAAAGGTATTCTGCTTTTTTTTTTTTTTTTTTTCTGTTTTTTTTTGTATATCTTAAGATTTTGTATTTTCTCCTTTTTTTTTTTTTTTTCTTTCAGCTATACCGAGACACCCAATGCCATTTGCTGCCAAGAACATGTTCTATGATGAGAGGTGGATCGAGAAGCAGGAGAGGGGATTCACGTGGTGGATCAACTACGTCCTCACCCCGGACGACTTCAAAGTCAACACCGAAGTGGCTAAAGGTAGCGTTCAGCAGGCTTTCACTACTCAAACGATTGGTGGAAAGCTTTATTGTGTAGTGTTTGGGTTCAAGAACTATCTAATCCTCACGCTCGTTGACTCATTTTAATATAGTCTGAAAACTTCACCACTTAAACTCAGTGGAATCTTTGTTTGAATGAGTGTCCGAGCTCTAGAAGTCTGTACAAGTCTTAACATTGCCTTTTTGTTTGTTTTGTTTCTTGTGCAGTGAGTGCTGTGTCCCTTGCCATTGGCAGCGATGACAAGTACAGTGTGCCTAAAGCTCCCACCAAAGAGGAGATGTCTTTCAGCACCTACACGGCCCGACGGAAGCTGAACCGCCTCCGTCGTTCTGCCTGCCAGCTGTTCACGTCTGAGGCCATGATCAAGGCCATTCAGAGGCTCGAGCTGGAAGTGGAGTCCAAGGGGCTGCTCGTCCGAAAAGACCGCCATCTTTGGAAGGACATAGGTAAATGAACATTACGTCATGCAACCGGTCAATGAAGGGTTTTTAAATACTCTACAGTTCGCAATAACCTAAAGTAACATTATTTACCTGTTTTTTTTTTTTTTTTTCGTCATCTTTCAGGTGAACGCCGAAAAGTCCTCAACTGGCTTCTTTCGTACAATCCGCTGTGGTTACGGATTGGGCTCGAGGTATTCTGATGAAACGGTGTTTCCAAACAGTTCACTTGTTAGTTTGTTCTCTACGCTTCCTGCGCTTGCTAAGCACAATGTTGCTCATTCTCAGACGATCTTCGGGGAGTTGATCTCACTGGAGAGCAACAGCGACGCCTTGGGTCTGGCTATGTTCATCCTGCAGCGGCTGCTCTGGAACCCAGACATCGCTGCTCAGTTCCGACACGCCAAAGTGCCGAACCTTTACAAAGACGGTAATTGAAGCGCAGCGGTTGTTGTGTTGTCTGAACTGTGACGTGTGACTCTCGAAACTGGAAGAAATTTCAAGCAATATTGAGTGGGTTATTGGCTCAGGTTAAACCTATTGGCAAATAGCCATTATGAAGCAAATTGAAAACGTACAACTTGGGCAGAAGTTGAACTTTAATTAAACAATGTCTTTCACTAATGCAAACAAAACCTTTTTAATTTCCTGACATTACATTTTTAGCAGATGTCTCCAAATGAGAGCATGTAGGTGAAGTTTAATGGCAATGCTTTTATTAAATTATGCTGCAGGCTCTAGAAATGCCTGCTACATTGAAAAATCTGGTGATTTATTTGATCATTAAGTAATCATTCATTTAGTCTGTGAAGTGTGAGAAAAATGTATTGGTTTGTCAGATCAAACTCCGATATTCAAACTGCAGTTTTATAAAACAGCTAACCTGCATTGTTAAGAAGCTGGAACTAGATTGTTGCGAAAGAAATTACAAACTAATATCAAAATAGTTGCCAATCAATTTTCTTTCAATCAATTAATCAACTAATCTTTGCAGCTCTACTGGAATTTTATATTTTCTCAAAGGGAAAACTAGAAAATTAAAGGTCACTGGATAATTTGTCCCAATTTACAACTTAAGTTTTTGACTTCCCAAAAAGATAGTTAGTTACGCTGTGAATTTGATTGGAGTTATTTAAGAAATTTCTGGTGAAAATAAGGGAATTAATTAAAAACTATTAGTATTTCCTATGTAGTATTAAAAACAAATGTATTTCATGTAGTTGTTCTAGAAGGTGTCAATGTTGTGTACCTTTGCAGACTTGTCTTAACTAAGGTAACTGTTACTTTGGACTGGTGTTAATATATCTGGACCTTTTCTCGGTTAGGCCACGAGGAGGCGCTGTCTCGCTTTACTCTGAAGAAGCTGCTGCTGCTCGTGTGTTTCCTGGACAAAGCCAAAGAGTCACGGCTGATTGAGCACGACCCCTGTCTGTTCTGCTTGGATGCAGAGTTCAAGGTAGGCCAAAGCCCTCCCATGTCAACAACGAGCATTAAATGCATAAAAAAACAAAACACATTTATTCCTGATTTTAGTTTTATGTCGAAGATCTATCTGGATGTCAGTCTTTCATTACTATCTGGAGACCGGATACTGTTAATTCCATTATTGAGAGGAAATCTAGTCTTACTTTAAGTATATAATAATTAAGAGCTATCAAAGTCAGATAAATGGAGAACTTGGGTTCAGAAACATTAAGTGTATGTCCATTGTTCCATCAGAACTTAAATGTTTCTGTGCTGTGCTGTCAGCTTCAGTTGTTAGAGGAGCAGACATTTATCACACACACACGGAGTCTGACAGATTTTAATGATGTGTTAACTTGTGTAAATGACTGTGTGGGGCCTATTTTACTGCCTGGACCCCTTATCTAATTTAGGAGCTAAAAACCAACACTTAACACTTTACATACACACAGATCAATTCTAACATTGCTTCCTGAACAGTTCATGATCAGCAGTAAGAAGAAAAATTACCCCTTTCTTAGAATTTTCTTGTACCAAATCTTTCCGTGACCACAGTGCGGAGTAATTAATGAATTCCTTTAGGGCCGAGGGCTGCAGGTTTCAAATGAGACCATATAATAAATGTGTACATAGCCTAGATACCTTCTTGTATCTGAGAGGGAGACAGTGCACTGGTATGTATTTTTAAATGCATATAGACGGCACAGACCTGACAGCCGTCCATAAGTTAGTTTTTCTTTTCTCAACAGACGAGTAAAGACCTGCTCCTGGCCTTCGCCAGGGACTTCCTGAGCGGGGAAGGGATCCTCTCCCGGCATCTCGGCTACCTGGGGTTACCCGTCTCCCACGTTCAGAAGCCCCTGGACGAGTTCAACTTCGCTGTGAAGAATTTGGCAGTTGATTTGAAATGCGGCATTCGTCTAGTGTGAGTGATGCGCCATGAATTCTAATGTGATGCTCTGATCCCCGCTGGGATATTCAGGCTCAGAAACTGGGGAGTATCCCTGCAGCTGGGAGGGATTCAGTGTTCAGCAGAGCTGTCTCAGGCTGGAGATTTCCTCACGTGTGTGTGTGTGTGTGTGTGTGTGTGTGTGTGTGTGTGTGTGTGTGTGTGTGTGTGTGTGTGTGTGTGTGTGTGTGTGTGTGTGTGTGTGTACGTTTTATTTTGAACGTATTTCCCTCCTTTTAATGCACAGAGATGCAGCTTGAGTCTAAAAGCAAACTCCCAGCAGTTATTGTAGAGTAAATCTCTTCTCCAGTAATTATACTCGGTATTATTTGACCTTTTGTTTTATGGTGGTCAGGAATTTTGAGCTGTAAGCCACAAAGCTGAGATGATTTAGTATGCTACATGAACCCTTTCTAGGAGATCTTTGGCAGGAATCTTTCATCCTTGATATAAATCTTCGTTTGACATCAGGTTGTGGGATATGACTGTACCTTAAAGGCGTCTTCTCTAATTTTCTTGTAGCGGTTTTTTACATTTGGGGCTAGTCACCAAAACAACATTGTGTTTATCTTGATGTCTAACAAACATGTTGAATGCATTTCCTTCCTGCAAAGCAGATTTAAGTATTTAAACCCTGCGTCGTTTCTATCCATGTTTACGTTCTAGCAATCTTCTTCCCTGCCTTTATCAGCACATTGTGTGTGTGTGTGTGTGTGTGTGTGTGTGTGTGTGTGTGTGCTGCCTCCCCCAAGCCTAGTTGGGGGAGGCAGCAACATATCTGCATTCACAAAGAGCTAATTGGTTGAATAATCAATCTTGCGCTGCTCTTCTATTACAATCAAAGCCCAGAAACATGCTGGAATTAAATGATGCATAACGTTTTGGGCATCAAATTGTAAAAAAAAAATAATTGCTGCGAAGTAAATTTTTTTCAAACTTAGTTTCCTACTTCTCTTTTTATTAAAATGTTAAAACAAAAATTCTTCATCGGATTGCAAATTGTCACGCAGCAGATTAAGAGTAAACGGTGTAGTTAATGTCTGTTAAGTTGCAGATTCTGGTCATTTATGACCATAAGTCGCTCAAACCACCAGCATTCATTTATTCTACAGCACAAGGAAGATGCCGGATTATTGCTGGAGTGAAAAAGGGCCCCAGCAACGAGCACGTACCACCGAAGACGTCAAAAATAATGGCAAACAAATGTTCTTCTGCAGCATCGATATAAAGTCTTCCATGTGGGGTTTGCTTTCAGGCGTGTGATGGAGCTCCTCATCCAGGACTGGAGTTTGTCAGCCAAGCTCCGTCTGCCAACCGTCAGCCGCCTGCAGAAGGTCCACAACGTCGACATGGCTTTGCAAGTGCTCAAAAGCAAAGGGGTCGACCTCAACGATGAACACGGTAATTGTGAATCTTTTATGTCCGTTTTTGTTTGTTTTCTGAGCAAACTGCATAGCGGGAACACGCTCAACCTGAAGGAACGTTTGTCCCCCACAAAATGAGATTCTGTGGGGGGTTTTTTCACAGAAGTGTTATTCTTTGTGGGCATGCGTGTGTTTCATGTTGGGCTGCGTTTTCCACGGCACACCTATTGTGTTTGATCACAAACATCTGTTGTACAGCTGCACAGCAACATAATTGGATTGCTTTGCCCTTCATGTGACAATATGGTTCTTTGTGTGTGTGCACCTCCGCATAAAGAGTGACTAAGGCGGTCCAGGATAAGAGACATAAAGGGAGTTAGAAAAGTAAACGCAATAACTTTGCCTGCTTAATCAACTAAATTGCAAAGAGACCATACATAATGCTTTGAATAGGCTTTTTAAAGCAGCTTATACAATTATTAAAGAACATTCATATACAGCTGCAGCTAACAATTATTTAATTATTAATCTGTCAATTATTATTCTTATTCTTGGTGGTGTAAAGTCCCCATCACTAATTCCCAAAGCTCAAGACAATGTCTACAAGTTATTGCCATTTGTCCTGATAAAAGGGTCAAACCCAGAGATATGAAACGGAGAAAAGCAGAGATTCCTCACGTTTGAGAAGGACGAAACGGAGAACATTTGTCATTTTTGCTAAATGGATGAATAACGCAAAACGGATTTGGTTCAACGTTTTTTTTTTTTTTTTTTTTTAAGTCCAGATAAAACAAAAATAGATATTTGAGGCGAGTTTATCACACCAGATGAAAATGTGTTTTTAAGCACAAATTGGAATGATAAAAAAAAACGAAACAAAATGGCAAAGAACATCATATCAGGTTTCACAATGGTGGAAAGAAAAGCAGTATTCTGTGTTGTGATCCACTGAAGACGCTGTATTTTGAAAGTGAATCTTGTGTCCTAGAGATTTAGTGTTTTGGATCTCATCATCATACCGTCTGTCTGTGATGTGTCTATGTTTGTGTTCCGGTGCTCTGCACAGATCTAAAACCCGCCTGCCTGCTTTTCATCCCCGGCTCCGTGCTCCGCTGCCTGGCGGAGGCGGCGTCGGAACGGAGGTCCCCGTGGACCGCCGGTAGACAATAACCGTGACAATAAATATTTTTAGGTTCATATTATGTACCCAAATTCAAGAATATGTAGGTCATTACTGCCAACCTTCTTGTAATCTTCCGTCGCAACTTCAAGCTGTCAGGTTAACATTAGTTTCAGCAAATTGTACATCTATATTAGCCATCGTTACTAGCTGGTCTGATGAGGTGTCCCTCCTAAGTTGCACAGTAGAGGTGTGAATCCACCTCTTCTTATAATTTTTTTTGTCGATTTTAAGAAGAAAAAAAAAAGGTCACCAAGCTTTTTTTGTAGATCCTGGCTTTCAGGGAATTTGTATTTGCAGGAAATCTAGCTCGCTAACTGTAGGCTGTCGTAAGCACTTGCGGTTGTAACTCGCAATTGAGCATGAGAACTACTGACGTTACGTGCTTTAGTTATTGTAAAGTGTTAGGGGAAGAGTTCATCTAAGACTGGCTCCAGTGCGCCACCGAGCCATGATTTCAGGCCTGCCCAGAAAAATCCTGAGCACAATGGGGGGGGGGGGGGGGGGGGAGAGAGAGACCATGACACAATTCAGTATCATATAGTTCAGCCTTTTCACATGTTTTCAGCAGATATCTTTTTAAAGTGCATCGTGTTTTTACAAACAAATCTCAGATCTTACTTAACCCCGCCTTTAAGTATCGTCTCTTTTATTTTCAGGCTCCGACATTGATTCCAGAGACATCGTGGATGGACACAGAGAGAAGACGCTGAGCCTCTTGTGGAAGATCATCTTTGCGTTTCATGTGTGTACCAGACTTTGTTGCCAGCCGGCCAGTAGGGCACAAAATTGTCATTTGTTTTCTTTCTTTTTTTTTTAAAAGCCGAAGATTAACATGCTGTCATCGAATGATCTGTTAAGGTGGAGGTGATTTTGGACGAGGATCAGCTGAGGGAGGAAATTGGCTTCCTGAAGAGAACCTTGAGGACCAAACGGAGGCTGGTGTCTCTGAGGGCCGATCGGGGCCTTCAGCCGAGTCCTTCAAGGACCAGGGTGCCGTATGAACACAGCAGCACTAAGATCACCCTGCTGATGGATTGGGTCCGAACTGTGTGTGACTTCTACAATCTGAAGGCGAGTTTGACATTTTAATTTTCAGCCCACAGGCCAAAGATAATACTGTTGTGTTTTTGAATTGTTTATGATTTCATTTCGTTTGGTTAGGCAATATACAGTGTTCACCTGCTGCACTTTGTCTTTGGATGTATTATTGAGCTGTTATTGTGTTGTAGCCTTTGGTGCTGAGTGGTGGTGGTTTCACATAAAACCACTTGGAGGGCAAACGATATTCTACCGTGTTTAAACAGACTGCATTTTGCTTGGGTTGCTAAACTAGCTCCATTTCTCTGGACTTTCACTCGTGTAAGGCTTATTTTTATAGCCCTAAATTACTGTCACTGACTCAAAAGTCCTATTTTAGAAAAAAGAAACGGTGAATGAAGTGTGCTGTCTGTCTGTGCAGGTGGAAAACTTCACCGTGACGTTCTCGGATGGCCGCGTCCTCTGCTACCTTATCCACCACTACCACCCCGGTCTCCTGCCAGCGAGGGCCGTCAGTCACAGCACCACCCAGACTGTCGAGTGCTCGCCGAGGGGTCGCCTGGAGCTCGACTGCTCAACCAGCGACTCCGACAACTCCTTTGACTCCTTGTCGTCGGGCCTGAACGGTACGTGTCGGCTGTCAGCTGTGTGCTGCGTCTTCAGTGCAATTATCTGCTTGGATGCGCTCTCTATAAATTGTTTTAAGTTGATGTATATGCATCATTGGAACATCACACAGACATTTTTGGTGTATTAGAGTGTGTGTGGGGGGGGGGAATGAATTTGATAAGACGTCTGGGGCTCAATAATATATTCAGCGAATTTATTGTCCAACGTGTTTCATACAATGCGCTTTGTAGGATTGTAGCTGGCTCTATCCACAGTGAACCCACCTGTTGTGAGAGCTAGACTGTTTTATTTGAAACAAACTACAAGGAGAATTGTTTTATTTTAAAGTTATTAAACTAAACAGGCTTTCAAAATTCATTGAACAGTGAATTAATTTTTTTTTTATTGAGGGCCAGCTTTTTAACTCAAATGTTTTGCACCTGAAGTGGACTTGTGTTTGATTCAAGGATAGAAAGACTATTATTGTTTTTTATTTATAGGATGATCTCTTATGAAGGACTTTTAAAGGAGGTTATGAAGAAATTGGAGGGACAGGAACAGCCTTGTGGTGACTGTTACTCTTATTTTCTTTTTTGTGAACAGGCCCAGAGTCTCCGTCGGTGGAATTTAAAGAGCTACTGGAGAATGAGAAAAACAACTTTGGACTGGTCAACGCCGCTGTGTCTTTCCTGGGCGGCGTTCCTGCCATGATCAACCCAGCTGACATGTCCAACACCATCCCCAATGAGAAGGTGAGACCAGACGGGAGGGTTTCTCTTCCTGCTGCAGGAACACCAATCATAGTTTTTATCAGACCTGTAGGATACATTACCAACGTATAATAATAATAATAATAATAATAATAATAATAAATGCATCAGTGGAGACTTTAGCACGAAAGTCTAACATTGTTTTCCAGCATTAAAAGAATATTGTTGATGTTCATAAATATCCGATCATAGGTGTAGTCTCAGAGTTATGTGTTGCTTTAAGGCACACTTAAAGGACCATACCAGTGGTTCTGCACAATAAGCCCAATACATTTTATGTGCATACAACAACCATTCCCATATTACCCATTCACTTTTAGTACGCTGTAGATATTTTAAGGTTATTTGAAAATGTTATTGCTGCATGCTTTAGGATATGATCGGCTATAGCAGAGTGTAAGCAGATAGTAGTTGGTTTGGTCCTTTTTAAGACTAAGGTCTCCTTTTGTCTTAATTATTATTACTGTTTTTTTCTTTGATGGTCTTTCAAATCTTTATCTATTGCAGTTTAACTAGTAGCAATTCTTTCTTTCCTATTTGTTAAAGAGACAAATACAGATTGGTTGTTCAAGGATTTAACACCTTTTAACAGTTTTATCACACTAAACCTTTCACGGTAAAGTCAAATCTGAGACCATGTCCAATGACATTTTTTCATAACTGTCTTTCCAAATATGAAAAAATACACAGAATATTTAAGGATACAGTAATCAGGGTTTTGACTAGTGACTGCTTTAAATCCATCACCAGGTCTTTTTATACTAAAATGTGTGTAAAGTGCTGCAACTTCATCCACATGTGTTTATGTACAGGTGGTGATGTCATACCTCTCCTTCCTGTGTGTTCGTCTTCTGGATCTGCGGAACGAAAGCAGAGCAGCTCGGGTCATACAGGGCGCCTGGAGGAAATTTAGATTAAAGAAACATCTAGAGCTCTACAAGGTTGGTTCAATGTTTTGGCACAACTGCATGATACTTTTATCTGATCTATGCTATTCTATTCTATTTATTCAACTCAGCCAGACCATTTAGCCATTTATGTCTGGATAGAACCAAAACTAATCCGTCACTTTAAAATAAATCTGCAGGTTTGTGTTGTAATGTTTATCATATTTGTTTTTATTGTTCATTTATTTTGGTGGTTGCAATAAAAACTTAATTGTGCCAGTTGTTGAGTCATGGTTGCACTATTGTTGTTCCACATGGACTTTATTTTTGAAATAAGTGCTCTCAATGCGGTCTGTGATAATAGCTACATACATACAATATTTGTATGAAACGGTAACTGTCGATACATTAAACACATGCGGTGTAATATTTATCTCATTTATAATTTCCTATTGTATTTAATGATTACATTGAAAATAAGCTATGTGTTATTGTTGTAGTCATCAAGCAAAGTGCTATCTTTGAATTATTAAAAAGGTCTATTAGGTGCAAAAAAATTAGTTTTTCATTTAGTACATTGTATATTAATTATATCCGCTGTAAGCAGGAAGGAGAAAGATGGACATGGAGAGAATTATCACACGAATCTTCAGAAATGCAAAATTGATGAACAATTATAAATCCAACTTGTTTCTTGATTTTTGTTTGGACACAGGAAAGAAACATGGCTGCCATGAAAATCCAGTTAGCTGTGAGGAGTTTTCTCCAGAAGCGCAGAGCTAAGAGGCAGAATCACGCTGCCGTTATCATCCAATCAGTCTGGAGGGGTTTCTTATCCCGCAACAGGCTGAGGCTAAAGCAACAGGCTCAACTTCAGGCTCTGCAGCACGAAGCAGCAACTGTCATCCAGGTGAGTGTTCATTACATGGGACTACATTCATGTGAGGATGAAAAGGACTGTTAACGAAATAGAAACGACCAAGTTGTACATGATGTACCATTTAGTGGTTTTTAACATCTTCAGGTGTTTATGGCTTTTCCTTGTTGATTGAGACCGTTGGTTTTGGTCCTGAATTTACATGCTGTTCGTGAACATTTGTCTCAAATCTCAATGTCTGTCCATTTCGTCGCGGCAAGGACACCTGCTTCCTAATGAAGCCCGCTTGTGTAACTGTTCTTTGAATATTTTCTTATCTTGTGCATGCAGGCTCAATGGAGGATGTTTTCGACCGCGAGGGCTTACCAACGCCTCAGATACTACGCCATTGTTGTCCAAGCACAATGGCGAATGAGGCGGGCGGCCGCTGCTTATGGAAGAATTCACTGGGCGGTGACGGTCATTCAGAAGCACTCGCGAGCATGGGCTTTGGCGAAAAGAGATCGGGAACATTATCTCTCCCTGAGAGCTGCAGTGGTGAAAATACAGGGAGGGTACAGAAGGTGGAAAACCCAGAAAACAGAAAAGGAAAACCGTGCTGCCAAAGTGATACAAGCTGCGTTTAAGAAATGGTTTGAGGAAAAGATGTCTGCAAGAACTGCTGCTGCTGTAAAGATTCAGTCTTGGTGTAGAATGCAGGTGTGTCTCCATCAATACAGAAAGGTCAAGAGAAGCACTGTGCTCATTCAGGCCCAGTGCAGAGGTCACGCACAGAGGCGCCGCTTTCAGTTGTTGAAGCTGCAGCACCACTCGGCCATTGTCCTTCAGAGTGCCTTCAGGGGGCAAACTGTCAGAAAACAGGTGGCGAAGATGAGATGCGCTGCGGTCACAATCCAGCGCTGGTTCAGGGCCTCCGTGGAAAGAGACATGCAAAGGCAAATGTTTGCGCGGATGAAATGTGCTGCCGTTACCATACAGGCAGCTTATCGCAGAAAAGTTGCTCGGGAGTCGCTGAAAAAACAGCACAAGTCGGCAACGGTAATCCAGGCAGCTTTCAGGATGTATGCTGCCCAACGGCACTACCATGCCGTGAGAAAAGCCGCAGCTGTGATTCAGCGAAAGTACAGAGCCTCAGTTTTGGCTCTCCAGACGAAGAAGGATTACGACGCTCTGAGAAATGCTGCACTTGTCATACAAGCGAACTGGAGAGGCAGAGCTGACAGGAGGACGATGGAGAAGCGGCATCGGTGCGCAACACTGATCCAGGCTTACTACCGAGGCCGCACAGCACAAGCGGAGTACAGATCCAAGAAGGCCTGCGTCATGGTCGTGCAGCGTCGCTATAGAGCTTGCGTGGTTGGAAAGGAGACGAGGAAAGCGTACCTGCGCATGAGAGCAGCCTGTGTCACACTCCAAGCTGGATTCAGAGGCGTGAGGGTTAGGACGGAGCTGAAGAAAAGTCACTGGGCAGCGACTGTCATTCAGTCTTCAGTTAGGATGTTTTTATGTAGGAAACAATATTTCCTCCTACAAAGTGCAGCGATTGTCATCCAGAGCCGATACAGAGCTCTTCTGGTCTGCAGGGCACAGCAGAAAGAATACCGTGCGCTAAAGCAGGCCACCGTAGAAATACAAGCGGCGTACCGTGGATTTAGGGTGAGACAGGTTCTAAAGAAGAGACACAATGCAGCCACAGCAATCCAAGCTCAGTTCAGGATGCACAGAATGCATATGGCTTACCTCGCCACTAAGTGTGCTGCCCTCATTATTCAGGAACGCTACAGGGCCAAAATGCTCATGAATCAACAGATGCAGAAGTACAGGACAATGCAATCTGCAGCTGTATTCATCCAGGCAGCATATCGGGGCCACAGGGCAAGGAGCAGGATTTTCGAGATGCACCGAGCAGCCACAGTCATTCAGAGAAGGTTTCTCACTATTAGGGATAGAAATGGGTTCCTAGCTCTCAAGGCAGCAGGTTTGGTTTGTCAGCAGAGGTACAGAGCATTGACTCTGGCAAGAAAAGAGCGTTTGGACTATCTGTCAAAGCGCACAGCAGTCATTTGTCTGCAGGCAGCCTACAGAGGATGCGAGGCCAGAAAGCAGTTGCGTATGCAGCATGCGGCAGCTGTAACGATTCAGTCTCACTTCCGAAAGCACCGGCAGAGAACCTACTACAAGACTCTCTACTGGGCTGCCAATGTTTTGCAAACACGTTGCAGAGCCAACAAGAAAATGAGAGAAGAGACGCGAGCCCTGAGTGCTAAGAGAAATGCTGCTGTTATCTTACAAGCTGCCTTCCGAGGAATGAAATCCAGACGACTCTTCAAACAAAGACATCAGGCTGCCAGCGTTATCCAGAGAGCTTACAGAGCACACTGTGAACACCAGCAGTATCTGACCTTAAAGTCCTCCGTCCTCACCATTCAGAGGAGGTATCGGGCCACCGCAGCAGCAACGGTACAACTGCAAAAATACCAAACAATGCGCAGTGCTGCTATTGTCCTTCAGGCATCATACAGAGGTCAGCAGGTCAGAAAGCAGGTTGCTCGCTGGCATCAGGCTGCCACTGTGATCCAGTCTGCATTCAGAAAGCACAGAGAGGAAGTCAAATTCCAGGCCATGCGTCTGTCCGCCATCATCCTCCAGAGATACTATCGTGCCTGTATTCTTCAGAGGCAGGAAAGGGAAAAGTTCCTGAAAATTAAGCAATCTACCGTCACCCTTCAGGCAGCGGTTAGAGGCTGGTCTGTCAGGAGGGACATGCGCCGACAAAATCAAGCTGCAATTGTGATCCAGTCGTGCTGGAGATGCTCAGTGCAAAGGCGTATCTTCCGAAGGACGCGTGAGGCAGCTATGAAAATTCAGCGGAGGGTCCGGGCCGTGCAGCTTGGCACGTTGGAGAGGAACAACTATACCCGGATGAGGAAAGCTGCCATGACACTTCAGAAACACTGCCGAGCCTGGATTGCAAGACGACAGGTAATGGGGTCTTATTTTAAGTTCATACTTTGCTAGAACCTTTTCTTTTTTCCTGACATCCAGACAGCCTTTAGTTTGCATTCACAAACCTTGTTGAGATTTGATAACGGCTTACTAATTTTCTTTTTTTTTTTGTGATAATTTTATATGGTGGATAGATTAATTCAAAATGAATATACTGAAATTATAGGAAAACAGGAACAAAGCTGACCATATTTAAATGTGATTTTGTAGTGAAACATAAGGTCATAGTCCTTTGCATGCTCTTGTGTTCCAGGTACAAGAGAGAGCCAAGGCAGAGAGGAGGCTCCGTTTTACGTCTGCGGTCTTCTACCATCTAAGGGCCATAAAGGTCCAACGAGCTCTGAGAGCCCGCTGGGCTTTGGAGTCTGCCAAAAGACAAATCCATTCTGTCATCACCGTACAGGTACAGGGACATGGAGCGCACAACGCCATTTTTCAAACAAAGTCTGTCGCCGAAAAGCACTTCTGATGGCTTTATTGAATCGCTGAAAAGCACATTTCTTTCAACGATTGCCTTACTTTTCCCCCAGCGATGGGTAAGATCGAGGCAGCAGAGGAGACGGTATCTGGAGGACAGGAGGAAGGTGCTTATAGCCCAGAGAGCGGTGAAGTGCTGGTTAGGTCGTCGCCACAAGGCGGCCTCAGCCATCCAGCAGGCCGTCCGCAAGTTCCTCCTTCGGAGACGCCAGGAGAGAGTTCAACAAGGCATTGTTAAAGCTCAGGTACTACAGTCGGTGGTGAATTTTGGTACAAATTACTTCTGATATGTTCACACTTTTTCATGTGTGTCTTACAACAATAGTCAGGTGTCAATATGAACATGGAAACAGGTTTTGTGTGCTGTCGTCATCATTCCTCTTCTTCATACTCCTTATTAATGTTCTTCAATGGAATTGATGAAAGACGACATTCAAAATCCTCTTTTTCTGTGTGAAAGTGTATGCAAGTATCTACTAAAGTTAGTTTATCTAGTACCTAATATCCTGTTTTTGGCAGTAAGTCTCTTGGCAGGATCTCTGTAGGGAAACTTGAGAGGATGGTGTAACATCAAAATCTTTAGTTTGTGTGAGGATTGAAATGGTGCATAATTCACCTTGGAATTTCAACTACAATTCATTCAGTTTCCTCCCTTTGGCATATAATTGTGAACATCATCTGATCCAATGCACCAATGATTAGCAGCTCATTTTAATGTCTTCTTCTCCTCTCTATGTCCCTTCTGCTCTCCCTCTAGGCTCTGTGGAGAGGACACCGCTCCCGCCGACAGAATGACGATGCCAAGTTGGTCAAATTAAGACACCGCTTTCGCAAAGTCTCCGCCGGCGTCCGAGAGGAGGACAAACTGTGCAACAAGACGTCGTCCGCCCTGGACTACCTCCTTCGATACAAACACTTCTCCTATATTCTAGAGGCCCTGAGAAACCTCGGTAAGGTTTGCCATCTCTGGTAAATGTTTACAAAGCAAGTGCTGGTATGAGACTGTTCAGATACAGTATTCCTATTCTGAAAGATCCGTTTGAATATCAGACTACATCAGAATTAAGTTCAAAAAGGACTGACACCAATTATTTTCATTATTTAAACTAGTCAATCAAGTAAAGTTAAGTCTGTCAAAGATTACTTCCAGGATTAAACACAATTTTCATAATTGGGACAGCTGTGATGGACTCTTAACGGACATCAGTACAAGGTTCAGGGACTTGAGTTTGTAATTATTTCAAACACCTGATTGTCTGGGCAAGTCATGACCCCCAACTGCAACCACCGTAACTGAGAAACGAGAAGACTTTTAGGGAAGTGTGGGAGAAGAAGCTCCTCCTCTGTTGTCTTTTGGTTTTGTGTTGTAGTAGCAAAAGTGCTTGTGTTGTCGAGATAAGACTGAGTTCATTACATAAGAAGGTAACCTAAAAAACAACTAAGTGTGTGTACCTCGTGGATTAAGAGTTGTTGCGTATCCTTGGCTAACACTTGATTCGGATTATGTGAGTGGGATCTCGGGTCTCAGTTTGTGTGTGTGTGTGTGTGTGTGTGTGTGCAGAGACGGCCACCAGACTGTCCCCAGAGTGCTGTGAGCGGCTGGTTGAGAGCGGAGCCACCAACGTCATCGTCACACTCATCCGCTGCTGCAACAGGAGCGTCCCTTGCATGGACGTCATCACCTACTCCATCCAGATCCTCCTCAACCTCTCCAAGGTACAAACCCAGGCCTGCTCTGTTTATCTTCCATGTTTCACACCCTCAGCACAAGAGCCCGATTTAACTTTTGTGTCATGGCAGCACTACAGCTTGTACAGCTTTCCATTACGAAGAAGTTACAGTTAGGGTTGGGTTAGGTTGACTTTTCTCAAATCTTTTTCCTTTTGTCTGATCAAGTGGTTCAATAAGTTTAATGCCATGTTTGTACTTTCTTGCTCTCTTTCTTTCCCTCTGCTCCACACTCTCCTACTTTCCTCCCTCAGTACCACAAGACCATCGAGGCAGTGTATTCGGTGGAAAACTTTGTGGAGACACTGCTGGACCTGCTGCAGAGATACAGGGAGAAGGCAGGGGATAAAGTAGCAGAAAAGGGCGGCGGCATCTTCACCAAGGCCTGCTTCCTTCTCGCTCTCGTCCTTCAAGACAAGCACCGTGCTGGGGTTCGTAGCTACTATAACATGACTTTTGAAATACTGGATATTATTCAAATAGTTTAAGAAAATTTTAATTTAAAATTCAACAGGAAAAGACGGCTGTTATAGCTTTGTAAATGTAATGCATTTTTTTTTTTTTTTTCTTTAGGAGGTTATGAAGCTACCCAAGGTATTGGATAGATTACGCAGTATTTACCGTCTCACTGCTCGCAAACACAAGATGGACGCTGAAAGAACTGTTATGAAACAGAAAATGAACGCAACGATGAACGGAAGCTTCTTTGTTCAAGCAACACCTCGTAAATCCCGCCCTGTGCCAAAGTATGTATTTGTGTGCATATACAGTACTGATATACTGATACACTGTAAGTCTTTGCAGCAGTAATTGACATCTCGTTTTTGTTTTTCAGATTTGCACCGGATTGGGTTCTGAGAAAGGACAAGCTCAAAGATATCGTAGACCCTCTCAGGGCCATTGAGATGGTGGCAAACACACTCTGCATTGTGTTGTAAATAGAAAAGCTTTTAATTCATGATTTGTTGTCATTTTTTACTTTAAAAAATATTTTGTATAGTTTCATTTTCTCTTTGTACATTTCCATGTTTTGGATGTATATATTAAAATGGATTTGTTTCTAAAACACGGTGCCAGTTTCATGTATCCTTCTGATGTGTTTACATTGTTTCTTTTGCTCAAGATGATGTGTGTTGAAAAAAGTCATAGTAAAGTATGTCACGGCGTCAATGATATTTAAAATACGTTTAAAAAAAAATATTGTCGTAAAAATAAGTCTATATAATATACATTTCCAAAATGGTAAAAGTAGTATTTCAAAAGGGTAAAAAAAATAATAATTTTAATTAAAATATGTTGAAAAAAGACAAATAATGGTCATTATATACTATGCCGTAAAAAGTATAAAGAAACGTCGTGGTAAAATATGCCAGAGTTAAACCAAGTCATGCTGTATACTGTATAGTATGTCCAAAAATTCATGGTTTACTGTGTTGAAAAAGACATAAGAAAGTTATAGTATATCATTTTGAAAAAAAAGTCGGTATATTGTCTAAAAAAAAAAAGTCCTAGCAGAATTTTTGAAAATAAAGTAATTGTATCGTATATCAAAAAAGGCGTATAGTATTTCGAATTAAAGTCATAAAAAAGTTACAGTATAGCATGTCGGGGAAAAGTCATAGTATCGCTTGTCGGAAAAAAAGATGGTAAAGTACGTCGAAAATAGACATAAAAAAGTCATATCGTCAACAAACAACTTAGGTTTAGGGAAAATATTATGGTGAAATACATTAACGAGCCAGGAACTTCACAATACCTCTTTGAGACACAAGGAAGGAGAAAATAGACTGAGTTTTATTAAAATCGTTACCGATGCCTGTACTGAATTGGGGACAGATGACTGATGCCAAACTGTTGCAGTGCTCGTCTCCCTCTGTCCTCTGATTAATCATTTGCATATTTGTCCAGCCAGCTCATGTAACTTCTGGTAAACTAAAGCTTTTACTGGCAAGAGGGCAAGGTCATCACACCATCAAAACACCCACACAATCTCTATTTACCAGTGCATCTTTCCTTGGTCCGCCTGATGTCAAGTTCATTACTGTGGGCAGAATATGGGCTGGTTGTCATGGCTAAATTTGAATGCAATATTTTCACCATACAGGAGATAACGGACACATTTTGTTAATGGCAGGAATTACTTTAAAGCTTAGTACATACACAACAGTAGTGGGAGAGGTACTCTTGATTCTTTGATGATTTAAATGTACCAATCCAACAATGCAAAGAAAAAAGATATAGTATTACATATCACATTATCAAATTGTTGACGCTAACGCATTGATGCGTTTGCATCATTTTCCTGTTGCAGGTGGTCGAGGTGGAGCTAGTTTTAAATACTTTGGTCGGGAAGAGAAACTATGAAAACGATGTAATTTGTATAGATCATTTTACCAATGTGTAGTACCTGGCCACATGCTCCAAACAAATAGGGGTCAGCACTTCACCACTACTACTAGATCCATATAATCAAACTTTACAGTCACGCCACAACCAATAGCAGCACAAGAATACATACAATTCGACCAGACTGCCGGAATACTCTTGATAGCCGGAAAAAATAACACTGCTATCTCATAATCTTCATGTGTGATGTCGGCCTACATGTTAGCCAACTTTGAGTTTACTGTGACACTAACCGGGAGCTGTATGGTCCATTATTATCCTGATTTGAATTAAATCCAAAGTGGCAGAAATGAAGAAACAACCTGTATTTTCATACATCAAACTAAACAAGCCTGGGCTAGCTGGTTAGCATGCTCATTTCAGTAGCAACACAATCCATAGACATCCCTGACACAACTTAAAAATGGTTACTTTTTCACATTCTGTTGATAAGGTTAGTTCTGTTTTTTTTTTTTAAAGAATTCTGGCAAGATCTTGCACCTTTAAGCCTTAAACAGTCATTTAAATGTAACCATCTGAACATTTTTGAATGGAAATTTCTCTGAACCCACAAAGGGAGCCTGGACTCCTAGTCTTAAATCTTCATCTGTAATGTAACTAGCAACTAGCTGTCACCAATCGGAAGTGGAGTAAAGTGTAAAGTAGCATAAAATGTAAGTAAAGTACAAGTACCTTAAAACAGCACTACAATACTTCCAGCACTGTTATAGTCATGTTTTTGTGCAGAATGATGTGTATTTAGTACCTGCTATACTGAATACCTCATCCCTAATGATTTCAATGTTTTATTAAGAATATATTAAAAATAAATCTTTAAAAGGGAACTGTTGTGCTCAACAGCATTGCAGGCCATACTAATATATAGTAGTGTCTGCTCTATTTAACCAAATGCTTAAAGGGGAAATATATAGATCTTTTCTCTTATATGAAGAAGAAAACACACTGAGTGAACATGAATGTTTTATTAAAAGTGTCACAGTTGACAGCACTGAAGTAGACACAGAAGATCAGTTCTGTACTAAGTGGTCTAACTATTGTTGTTAAACTTTTACATTTCTGTTCATCCATCTCAGGTCCATCACTTCTAGTTAACTAAAAACCTTTACTGACAAGTGGGCAGGTTCATCTCACCGTCAACACACTGGCAACGCATGCCCGATGTGTCGACAGGTTTTCTGTTACTGATACACACGAAAGTAACATGATCATTATGGACCAAATATAGCTTATCTTGAGATCCATATCTGAAGTCAATATTATGCGAACGCATGGCTTCTCTATCCACAGTGCAGGGTTCTGCAAAAGATAACAGATGAACAGAATTGTATTAATGGGGAATGACTATACTGCATATACAATTATTGCTCTTCTTGGATAAAAAGTATATTTAGAGCTTGATAGATAAGCACGTCTTCCCAAATGTAATCGCTAACATGTAGTGTTACAATACTCAACATATAAATCATTACTGGCCAGCCAACTGTGAAAGATGTACTGTAATATTATAATAATTATTATAAACCTTTTTAGATTGAAGCTACATAAGACCTAAATAAATGCTACACTGTGTAATGGCCCTGTATAATTAATATATTCTGTCAATATTAATCAAGCCACTACATGCAAACACTGGGAACCAGAATATCAGTTTTGCGTTTGCAAAATCCTCACAGAATGCCACATGAAAAATGTCTGTGAATTGTTACTTACTTAGACACCTGATCCGTCCAATCCATTCCCCATTGATGCAGGTTTTGTAAGGCTCACCCTCCATGGTATAGTAGTTCTGACAGCGATAGTGAACCCTTTCTTCATGGCGGTGTTGGAATCTTAGAGCTTCTGTGGTGTCTCCGTCTGTAAGGGGTGGTGACGTCCCACAACCCAAAGAAGCTAAAAGAATGTAAAAAAAACACAAAAATGAAACCAAATGAGTCAGTCCCAAAAAAGCCTTTTGATTATTTTTCTTATTGAAGTCTGTGTGTACACACTGCCAGTTTATTGGTGTTTCCTGAGCAGAATTCCTGCGTGTTTGAGTTTTCAGGGAGCAATAAGGTTCACAACATGGACTGCCCAGTGGGATTGTACAATGCATGTCTCATTGCAACACACAAACACAAACTGTTTGCATCACTGGACATTCCAGAAATGCTTACGTACAGCATCCTTTATGCATACAGCATATTTGTTCAGGCTCCTATCAGTCTTGTTCATAAAAAGCTTTCAAGAAATATGAATATCATAGTTTACGTTAAGTAAATTTACAGTTTTAAATTCTAATAAAAAAATTGGTATGGCCATATTCTCAGGGGTCCCTTGGCCTATCACCTCAAGATATCTAAATTAATATGGGTTCTATGTCTATCCATATAAAAAAAATAAAAAATAAGATAGCACCAATTATATATATTTTTTAAATTGTGGTGTCAAACCTAATCGCTATACTGTATAAACACAAAACTGGCAAACTTAAATTCCATTTGTGAAATACATTTTGTACGTACGTGTGCACGTAATGTTTTTCTCCTCCATTACTATGGGTAATCAAATTAATATTGCAATTTAGATTTTTTTTTAGCTGTTAGGAGATATTTACCATTTATATTGCTATCAACACATAGAAACTCCAGTCACACATTATCCCTAAAACAACTATATTTGTTGTACCGTTATGTTCTTACCTGAACAGTTCCTTATCCCTGTCCAGCCACCTTGCTCACAGGTAACAGTAAAAACTGTTTTATTGTCGTTCCTGCATTCATATTGGACATGTTCATTGAGCCTGTAATTATCCTTTTCATTGTTGGTAATTTTTGCATTGTCGATGTGAAGTTTTTTAATGTTTTGTTCATGAAACAAAGTCAATGCAATTACTTACCAAACCCTAAATAAATTCAAATATTTTGAAACAAACAATTTAATTTCAGAAGGAAGCAAGGTACTTCTCATGTCAGACCTTGTGGTGCTCCAGAATGAGCACCACAGAATATTGATCATTTAACAAAACTCTCATAATATACACATGTATAACCCGTTAAGGATGAAAAAAAAGGAAAGCTATTTTGGCCAGACAAGTTGTAACGATGGAAATGAGGCATGGAGCTGTAGGTTAATGAGTGCTAACTATTTGTCTGTTCAAAGTAGATTATTAGTTTTAAATTAAATAAAAAACATGTTTGACATTTTGCAATAGAGAAAAAAGATAAAATAAGATGCATGCTCAAGACAATTGTTAGAAGAACAGGTGGCAGATCTTAGCGAACCACTAACTGCATTTTTTTACTTTGCTGCTATAAAAAAAACACCAATGTTTGCCCCAAAATGTATTCATAGCGATTCAATTCTAATCTGATAAACAATAATGTAATTGTGGTGGAAGCATGAAAAATAAAAGTTGATAAAATGATGGGAAAAAACAACAACAATCGTCCTTTCAACTATATTGTGTATTGTATTTTCTTACTTCTACATTGTGGAGTCCCGATCCAACCTGCTTTCTCACAGGTTAGAGTAAAACGTCCCTCAGAACCAGCCTTGCAGGTATAATGGACCTGCTCCCTGTACCCGTATATGGTCTTAACCTCTCCATCAATGTCTGCCTCCTCGTAAGATTGACTGTTGCATGTTATCTCTGTAAAAATAATAATAAAAAAATGTAGTTATTCTGTACACTGACTTGAAAGTGACATTTTACTGTCATATCAGAGTTGGCACATCAACAAGTAAAGTATTCAGATATTTTACACCCCGATGTAAAAGTAAATTGTACTTGTGTTGTGCAAATATAAGACAAGCAAGATGGTGTAGATCAGAGGTGTCAAACTCATTTTCACTCTGGGCCACATCAGCATCATGTTTCCCTCAAAGGGCCGGTTGTAAATGTAAGACTGTGTAAATGTAAGTACTCCTAACATATTGGTAAATAACTGTCTGTGCATTTGATTATTGTTTATTCAAGTGTAAAAATATTGTACATGCAGTTATATAAATGTAAAAATATATTTCAGCACATTTCTGTTATTATAACTTACGTAAATCCTTTTAATTCAGGGTTAAGAAACCTACATTACTCTGTCAAAGATCAAACTATTAAAGAAAATAACAAAGACAAATATCAAACACAAGTTATTACAATAACTTTGTTCAAAGCTTAAAATCCTTTCAACGGTGCATTTGTACAATCCCACGTGAAGTATTTCATGTGTTGTAAAGCCACGTTTAAAGTAGTCTTCAATGTACTCACAATACACATGTCAAATACAGAGTAGCCTATGAAGAGCTGCTTCTATCACTGTTGTGTTTAAGTATCTCATAATTATGACTTTCTATCTCATCATTTTGACTTTCTATCTATCTCATAATTTCGACTATGGGGATATTTTTATTATCAAGTCTAACTCTAAATTAATTAATTAATTTATTTTTTTTTTTTGCTGGCGGATTCGCGGGACACATAAAATGACGTGGCGGGCTGGATTCGGGCCGCGGGCCTCGAGTTTGACAACCCTGGTGTAGATGCTTGTAAATATGGCACCTGATTTTGCTTCTTTTTCAATGTGATCACCAGTTTTTTCTTTATTTATGTCATGGTGAGGGATGTATAATGGGGTGAACGTGTTGTAGCCTTGTTATTGAGCGTGGAGTACCAGGAAACATTACATATATGGATCTTTTTTTTCTTGGTCTACAGCAGGGGTCTTCAATGTTTTTCAGGCCAAGGACCCCCCAACTGATAGAGAGATGGAGCAGGGACCTCCTGACTATATATGTTGTATAAAATTGTGTTTTATATTAAACTGGGCCTAGTGCTATGTATAAACACACCTCTTTATTGTGCATTCAATACTAAGCTATTCAAATAATACACAGGTTCATATATTCATGTTTTCATTTTAAACATGTGCAAGGTACAGTGAGTAGGGAGGCCATGCCACTGCCATTTATAAACATACCTTGTCAGCTGATACCAATGCCAATATCAACATTGTCTGTCAATTGCATGATAATCATGCAAACAAGCTATTCAAATTGATGTTTTCATTTTAAACATAAATGTGGAAACGAAAAATGAGTGATGGCCTATTAGTGCCACTGCCATGCATAAACACAACTGTTATATTGCATACAATACTGAACTATTAAAATAATGACAGATTCATGTTTAGAGAAAAAAACAAAACTTTTTTTTTTTTTTTTTTTAATTGTCTAATCAACCAAAAATTTTGCGGACCCCCTGTTGAAGACCTCTGGTCTACAGAGCAGCATTGCTTGATTTTCTCTGGAAAAAGGCTGATAACTGTTGCAATGAGCACCATAGACTGGGACCGAGGCAGATTAATAGTATATTGAAGTAACTGCATAACTTGGAGAAGGAACTTTTAGTTCCTGATTTAGTTCCAGATCTTAGTTCCTACGATTTTTGGTGGAAGACAGCAATTACGGTAAATAAATGTTTTAAATGTTGCAGAAATGAATGTTGACATGTTTTATATGTCAGGTAATGACTTGGAATAAAGTTGACTAAGGAGTTGAAACACAGAGGTGGGTGATAATTTATACTGTATGCTTTATAAACAGTCAAACCTGACAACAGGTGTGATTATGTGCTTAGAAAATTCAAATGATTCAAGAACAGCATCCTCACTAAAACTTTGATATGTACCTCTCTGTGATAAGTCAAATAGTAAAAAATAATATAAAGTCAAAATAATTCATTGTTTCATTGTATTTTCACTCAAAAACAGGGTCTACTTTTATGTAAACAAGGTCTATTGGCCCTAAATTCCAAAATGAAGGGAACGATTTGTGGTAATGTGTTGGACTGAAGTAAGACTAAAGGTGTAAAACAGAATTGATTGACAATTTATACTGTATGCTTTAAAAAAAGTCAAACCAGGTGGGGCCATTTTTGACCCCAGAGGACAACAGGTGTATGGCAGTCGGGAGGACAACACAAGGGTTTTAAATAAATAAATAAATCCTAACTGGACCAAAAGCTCCTTCCCCGCTTTCCCAAATATGGATACAAAATTACCAGTAATGTCATAGTTAAAACTTCACAATACCTTGACAAAGTGGATTTGGATTCCATCCATCTCTGGTGCATTTGGCCGAGGTGGCACCATCTGTCTTCTTGTAGCCCGTCCCACACAAATATGTTGCAGTCTCACCCAATGTCATTCGTTGGCGCCATTCAACACTCCAGTGATACACATGCTGTGGTCTTTGATTACTGCATACAACCTCTAGAAGAAGAGAAAGACTTGCGTAACTTAAGTAATAAAGATAAGATTGATCATCATCTTCATCACAAATTAATGAACCATACACACACACAATAAAGAACAGCAATCTCATAATCTGTGTCTGGCACTAAGCCGTGTAGTTTTATACCTTGGCACACTGGGTGGAAAGTCCATTCTCCATCCTCTTTGCATGTAGTCACTACTGAGGTACCCCAAGGGTGTGAAATCCAGTACTTATCTCCACACATGACTCTCACTGTGTCACCAGGTAGAAACACATTTCTGGAAGGAGATTGATACCTGGTTCCCTTCTGTGGCGGCAGTGTCAGTCTACATCTTATTGCTTCATTTGTTGGGAAATTAAGCATATTATCTGTTAGCACCAATTTGCTCTTGTCAGTGTGATATAACCATCAAACTGGATGACTCAGTTTATACTTACGTTCACATGCAGGTGTGGGGCTCCACTCTGCTCTAATTCCATGTTTGATGCATTTTGAAGGTCTGCCTACAGTGGGTTTATATCTAGCATCACAACGAAAGTGCAGGACCTCCTCTTCTTTGTACTCTGGAATATCTCCAGGCACAAAACCATTTTCAATCTCGGGTACTGCACAAGTTATCTCTGTTGGAAAAAAATATATATATGTTTTTTCATAAAAAGGGGATGCACAGTAATCATTATTGACCTTACTCTGGAGTAAAATAATATCTGAAACATTCAGTTGGGAGGTATTTTTGGTTCTCACATTCTCATATCGCCAGATCAAATCCCAAATGCAGATTAGTCTGAAACCTCTCAGTTCATTTTTTTTTTTCAAAGTGGCGCTATCAGCGGGTTATCAACATGTGATGCAGCACTGAGCGACCACTGACCAGGTCGGTGTAGATCACAGCGCAGTAGTAACAGCCAATCACAGCACATAAGGCGTGCTATATTATGAGTTGTTATATTAAACCTTTGTCAAAACCAGTCGAAAGTACAGCAAACATCAGTGCAGTTTATTGTTCTTCTCTCAGCAAAAATGTTCAGTTTGTACATCTTCAATTCCATTCCTTGCCTCTCTCCTCGTGCTTTAGTCCTCCCACCAGAGGAGAGAGGAGTTAATCAAAATGTTTTGCATGTCATTTTAAAGCAACACCAATTCAATATGACATTTGCAGCTGCAACATCTGTCCATTGGCATGCCCCTTCATCCTGGTCTCCCGTTTAACAAAATTGCATTGACAAATACGTTTTTTAGGAAAATTATTTTCTCCTGGATTAACTTAGTTTTTGTTGTTTCACAAATATGTTTCTAATCATAGTCTGCAGAAGTACACCAAGGGAGGAGGTCAGAGTGGATGGGTGGGTCAAACAAACACAAGACTTTCACACAGGAGACCGCTGTTTGTGTCCCGTGTGAAATCAAATGTCAATATTCACCTATTTTGATTCACATCCTTAACCTCGATACCATAACATGTACTTATTTGAAGCCAAACCATAACCATATACTAAACCTAACAAAGAAGGTTGTGTTTTTTTGTGTGTTTGTTTTCAATTTACAACGTTAGCGTCATGTTGAAAATTGCGACCGCAATCAGGGAGTATGTTTCCTTCAAAACATAATTGAGAATGCAATTTAGTTGTATGGGATCATAATTTTGAATGAGACAGGTTTGAACTTTTTATGCTTTTATACAGGCGCTGATAAGACTTCTGCAAAGGATACACCTGTGCACCCACGATCTAAGCTCCACCGGCAAGCCTCTTCTTTCCTCGCGATGTATTTTAGGAATCGAAACATCCTTCAAGATGAAGTTGATTTCCGAATCACAGACAAAAGGGCGGAACAGAGAGGAGACAAGGAGGCACAAAAAGGAGAAATGCGAAGAGTCTTTGTAATTGGCCCGGCACATCCCATGGTGGGTTATGTTTGTATTTGTGTGTTCCTGTCTTCCCCTTTGCCTATACTTTCACCCTTTTACTAAAAAGGAAGTAATTTTGGAAAGCCTGCTGTACCTTTGCATGTAGGAATTTGTCCACGCCATTCTCCATTTTCATCACAATACATTTCTTGTGACCCAGACAGGATTTCAGTGCGGGACTTGCAGCTGAATTGAACTACATTGCCATAGGTTGCTTCCTCTGGGTCCCCAATCACCTGGACATTCTGTTCCACGTGAATCACTGGGCACTGTTGGGCTGGAAGGAAAACAAATAAATCATAAATTGGATGACCAAAAAACTTTCAAACGTTTCAAACTATAAGCACGTAAGAAATACAGTTTTTCAATATTCCCTGACACAGTGACATTTCCCCTCGTATGTAAGGTACTGAACAAATATGATCCTTTATTTCAGCTTTACCTTCACAGACAGGAACCACACCATCCCAGCCTTCAGACATGCAACGCCGGTATTTTGTGCGACTGACCATTTGATAACTGAAAGGAGTATTATGTAGAACATGGATAATGGAAATGGCTTATTAATAGTCAAACTTAAACTGCACCTCTTGTTATGCACGGTATAGTGACACAGAATAATATGTACAAAGCAAAGCACAAAGATATAAGTAAACATACAAATTAACAGTATACAATTGTATTTATACATATTTTCATACCCTTTGTTGCAGGTGTACACAACTTGTGACCCAAAGACAAAATCGTCTCCCTTTTCCAGATGAAAATCTGCAAACGGGGCCTTCCCGGGATGGCCACATGATCTCGCTTAAAACATAAGAATGAAAGAGAATGTGGGTAAATATATTTCTAAGGCTCAAAATACAGTGATGATACAGGTGGACCTCCATTCAATAATATGCAGTACGATATTTTAGTATCTGCTGATGATGAAATAGTTTCTGTTCAGTTTAATTTCCACATTCACTGTTTCATTATTGACAGTCCATTGTAAAAATCGTTAAATTGAACAATAAAAGAATTAGAGTAAATGGTACTGAGAGAGCAATACTGTTTATATTGCACTATAGTGATTCATACTTAAAAGTACATCAATGCTGGTGAGGAAATTTCACCATTGAATTTCTCAAAACATTCATCAATATCAATTTGTTTCCTACATTTCTGAAACATTGTATTGACCAACATTCAGCATTCTGACCACAACCTAGCTTAAGGTTAACTTTGTCCCCAGACTGGATGTCAGTGTGTTAATGGTTAACAGAGAGCAGGTTAAATATTTAGCCCAACAAACGTTTTAAATGTAAATTACAAACTCTGCTGCACTTTTATTTTAGTTGTTGCATTTGATTTGAGCAACTTACAACTTATTACTACACCGTAACTGCACTCTAACTGTAATTCTGGTATATTCTATTGTATTGTATTTTATTTAATATAATATTTAAAAACGTTTTCATTGCTTATCGTTTTTAAATGTCATTCTTAATGCTTTTTTGACAACGTAAAGCACTTTAAATTATCACTTTGTTTGAAAAGAGCTATAAAACTGCCTTGCATGATCAGACTGAAAAAAACACTATTGTGCTCATACATAAGTCAACCGTTCCAAGTACCAAGACTTTGTTCATGAAATGGCATCAAATTGAGACCTGAGCTGTGTTTGGAATATCATGAAAATGTTACTAAGTTGAACCTCATCAAATTGCAATCAATAAAATGACTTTTTTAAACATGAAAACATTTGCCATTACATTTACGTAATGAAGGGCATGTCTAAGAGAGACTTGACTTTTTCCCCTAAAGAGAATCTAAAATGGAAATGTATCTTTTAGATATGTTATTTACCCCATTTCCTGTAATCTTGCTACATATTGTAATACACCCAGGGGTCAACAACAACAGTATTCATTCTGTTGGTGGTGAAAGTGTCTAACAGAAAGCCATTCAACTTACGGGAACAGGATTCCTGTTGGACTGCCAGCCAGCCCTCACTCGTGCAAACATATCTGATAGTTGGCCCGGATGTATTGTAACCAGGTTCACATGTGAAATGTATCACATGTCCTCCTTGGTAATCAATTCTTTTGGTCTCTTCTGAAATGTTGGCATGAGGAACATCTGGGAGCGTTAAGCATTCTAACAAAGAACATCATGGGGAAAGAGGATGAGATTACACACATTGTCACATATGGCGCATGTACAGTACTGCAAAAATGTGTAGGGTTGGCTCATCCAAAGTTATTTTCAGCTGCATGCAACACATATGACAATAGAAAATAAAATAAACAAATGACCACAATGCTGAGAGGCTAACAATAAAGCAAAGAAAAATGGAAGTTATCAACATTGAAAAGGAAATACAAGGAAGGACAGCGCAGAAAAACTGGCATCTGCTCAAACCGCAGCACTTTTACACTAGTGAGTGTTAATGAAATATGTGTACACAAACACGGCCATTTGAAAATCCACATATCAGATACCAATATAACGTACAGGTTATTCTTCTCATATCTATGAGTCACGTCCACCAAAAAGATAAACAACTTTTATTGGGTGCCGTTACTCTTTATAATCCCCAAATGCCAATTTTTTTAGTTAAATGGAAACATCAGAATATAAATAATTCTAAGTATACACATCTAATATTGAGAGAGAAAGTAAATGTATCCCCTTCACACATGCACTAATTCTTCCAGTATTAAGGAAATACCACAAATCGAAACATGCAATTTACAAAGGCGTCTTTCTCTTCTCTGCATAAATCTGTAGTTTAAGCTAAACGCTGTTTATCCACAAAGCTAAATGATAACACTTCAGTAATGAAACAACTCCGACTTACCAATCTGTGATGAAGAAACTTCCACATTACCCCACAGTTGGAAAAACAGAAGGATTACAGACAACAGCATGGTCTCTAGACAAGCGTTTCCTGAGCAGAATTCCTGCGTGTTTGAGTTTTCAGGGAGCAATAAGGTTCACAACATGGACTGCCCAGTGGGATTGTACAATGCATGTCTCATTGCAACACACAAACACAAACTGTTTGCATCACTGGACATTCCAGAAATGCTTACGTACAGCATCCTTTATGCATACAGCATATTTGTTCAGGCTCCTCTCAGTCTTGTTCATAAAAAGCTGTAAAGACATATGTATATCATAGTTTAAGAAGTTGTTTAGATAAATTTACAGTTTTAAATTCTAATAAAGACTTTGGCTCGCGATTAGAGATTGCTGCCTAGATTATGCTCAGCAGCAATGTTTGACCAATTCAGGAAGTGAGACGTTCTGCAGAGAAGTCCTCTGGAGGAAGTCAGGATGGGAGGTTGGGTGAACAAAGCACAGGACTTTAATACTGGAGACCGGGCTTTCCATGCTGTGTTTCACATGCTGTTGGGTTTAGGCCTCTAAAACATGGTTCTAGTTTTGGCAAAATGTGTAAAGATTCAACGCACGTTGTGCTTCAAGTAAGTGTTGACTTTCAATATTTAAAGATTACCTGTTTTTCTCTACAAATGCGAAATTATGAATATCATGAAAGACCAAAACTAACAATGAAGAAAAGTGGCACAAAATTGTTTGGCTGATGCATATTTCAAACTATTATTAGACTTTCCTGATGGTATATTTTCAGAATTAGCTTTATTAGCCAATAATACATGCATATAAAAGGGATTTGACTTTTTTTTGCATCTCTCTAAATGTACTTAGACAGAAATCGAAAATGGAAACAGCGAGGGACAAGGACAACAAAACGACACATAGCAGGTGAACACTGCATCATCTGCACTTAACACTAGGTGGCAGTTTTTGCACAACCTGGGAGAAAACTGGTAAAAACCTGTACCACCTTAACTTAATACTTGGTGGTAGTAATTTCTTTGAATAAAATACAAGTCATTACAATGTGCTTGATCTTAAGTGCTGCTTAGAGAAACCCATGTAGAAATGAAATAGCATTTGGGAAACCTTTTGTAAAAGTATTCGTAAAAGCGGTCGTAGACAACGCTCTTAACTTCTAAGACCAGACATTGTCATTATCAGGAAGGAGGCCAAGTTGTGTAAGTTATTGTGCTGCATCAATATTCTGGATATTATCTTGTTGTTGTTTTCTCTTCCAGAGAAGAACAGTTTCAAAACAGCTCACTTGAACCTTCCTTTAAGCACATAAAGATGGGACAAACAGACTTGAGTCTCATCATACAAGTCGAGGCAGAAAACAAGGGGAAATACGTATGTTTTATTAAAATGACCACACAGAGCACTGAAGCATAGCCACTGGATCAGGATATCACTGGTCTAACTCTTTACTTTGGTCGTCCCCCTGGCTCATGTTTATATCTCATCCAGTTAACTAAAAACCTTTACTGGCAAGTGGGCAGGTGCATCTCACCGTCAACACACTGGAAACGCATGCCCGATGTGCCGACAGGTATTCTTCTTTCGGTACACTTGAAAGTTATATGATCATTATGGCGTGAATATATCTTAAGTTGAGATCCATATCTGAAGTCAATATTATGCGAGCGCATGGCTTCTTCATCCACAGTGCAGGGTTCTGCAAAAGATAACAGATGAGCAGAATTGTATTAATGGGGAATGACTATACAGCATACTGCATATACAATTCTGACAATAACGATTCTGTTATATTATTTCATTATAAACCTTTTTAGATTGAAGCTACATAAGAACTAAATAAATGCTACACTGTGTAATGGCCCTGTATAATTAATATATTCTGTTAATATTAATCAAGCCACTACATGCAAACACTGGGAACCAGAATATCAGTTTTGCGTTTGCAAAATCCTCACAGAATGCCACATGAAAAATGTCTGTGAATTGTTACTTACTTAGACACCTGATCCGTCCAATCCATTCCCCATTGATGCAGGTTTTGTAAGGCTCACCCTCCATGGTATAGTAGTTCTGACAGCGATATTGAACCCTTTCTTCATGGCGGTGTTGGAATCTTAGAGTTTCTGTGGTGTCTCCGTCTGTAAGGGGTGGTGACGTCCCACAACCCAAAGGAGCTAAAAGAATGTAAAAAAAACACAAAAATAAAACCAAATGAGTCAGTCCCAAAAAAGCTTTTTCTGTCTTTTCCTTAATGAAGTCTGTGTGTACACACTGCCAGTTTATTGGCCTTAACCGAGCAAAAACTAAAACAGTTTAATACACAGCTACCTTCATGAAGGTTTTAATGTTCAGGGCTCTTAGAGAGGTTTTAATTCAACTTTTTTTAAGTTAAATTCCTGGTGAAACTGTCTTAAGTTACAATCATTTTTATGAATGACTAAACACAAAGGCGAAGAATCACTTCTATTTACTTGGGGAAAAAAATAGCAGCACAAAGATAATATGTATCAGGGCAGGGTAAACAGAGCAAATCATGCACTCTAAGATTGCAGTGCATTGTGGGAGACAACTGACAATTGGGTCATGGATCATCTATTGCCATCATTTCCCTAGACATGGAGCATGGGGACAAGAAAAGTATTGATTTACCTCCACATGTTGGGAAGGGATCACTCCACTCTCCGCCTGCTAAACACTCAACTATTGCCTTCCCATGAAGAGTGTCTTTAGGATTGATGCATTCAAACCTCAAGTTTTGTCCTTGTCTTAGTTGATTGTCTGGTACATGTGTGTTGAGGAGCACGCCGTCTGGAACACCTGGAAATTTGCATTTTTCTGTTTTGAAGAAGAGAATCTGTTTAATCAAGAGGTTAAAGCTGCAGCATGTTAGACTTAAGATCAGACTTTTTGGATTTCATGAACCCAAATCTGATCAATGATATTTCTGAAAGATTACATCTGTATGCAAATGTATGTAAATGTATTACTTATTTGAATTATACAAAAATACTGTAGAAGTCGGTAGAGGCATTGGTCACTAGTTTCTATCTAAGGACATGTTTGTTTTTCATCTAAGAGTCTATAATTAATACTTGGATCACATGACTTTCATTTGAAAAGGTCTGTTGTCAAACCCTCAGCTCTGTTGAGCTTTATAACGTCTTCGCTGTTTTTCTGGTCTGCAACTTTACTGTTTACTCAGCAACAAACAGCAGACACAGTTAGTGATTCGCTGATGAACATAGTGCGCCATTTAGCAGCTAAATAACCAGATTCTTTTCGTATGATTTGGTGAAGACCAAGCGGCAACCACTGGTGCTAAGAAATGAAGCCAACGTGGAATTGCTTAAAACTACAGTTCCTCAAATGGCCACTTGAAGCAGGCTCCAAAAGTCAGTCAATCTCCATAGACCCCCAACTTTACAGCAGAAATAGACGTTCACAGCCTGGTACAAAAAATGTACATATATTTGTCCGCATTCATGAAGGGAGGGAGATTTAAAAAACATGTGTTGTACAATTCACCCTTTTAAATTATTAAGGCTTAAAATTAGGCATAATTGAGGGTGTGGCCGTTTTGACTGACAGGTGAGTGCTGTCTCAGGTCATTAGCTGCTAGCTCCACCGGTGATGCACCTAATTGCCTATTTTAGGCTGTGTCGTTTCTGCAAAGATGGCAACAGCTTTAAAAGGGTTCTTCAGAAACCTATGGGTGAGTAAGTCAATATATATATTCACTGTACACCATACATAGACAGTCTATGGTGGAGGCCAAAAACAGAGCTAAAAGAAGAGTGAATATTTGACTTTCATTTGCTCGATGGCCAGAAACACAACTCCAAATGAATGCAAAGGTTACTCTTATTTCTGCTATATGTGTAAACAGGCAACTTTTTCCTAAGAAGTTATCAACTCAAAAGTTGATCTGTATCACGGTTGTACCACAGTTTGATTCCTGTGCCTCCAAATGGCCAAAACCCCCCAGTAATTATAGGATTAATTATTGGTATATATACAGTATATACAGATTCTTAAATGGAAAAGGCACCTGTGATAAAAATGCCTTTAAGTTTCCGTTTTAGCTTTGACCTGATGCTTGATGCTTTGAGCTAAATGTGACCTTGGACGTCTCTCACAAGTCTACCTCCATGTCCTGTGTGTCTCTCAAAAAAGATGGGTTAACCCAAATATGCAAATTAAAACATCAATGTAAATAGGATTAACCTCTAATGAAAAGTGAACGTACCAGTGTAAATTGGAAAGGCCGCATTCCACTCCTCAAATTCTCAGTTTGTAAACATTTAATTTCTTGAGACTATTTCTATTGTAAATGTATCATCTTATCTATTATCATTTTATTACCATCAGCATTGAGATGAGGCTGCATCCGGTGAACTGCAGGAGTGCTGTCTGGAGAGAATAAAACAGAAATTATCAAATTAAAAACTCAGTGGACAGTTTATTGTTTATTCAGATTCTTATTAGTTGTTACCAGGGAATCAGCTACTCTTCCTGGGGTCTACGTCCCACAGGGTTAGGGTTAGGTATGCAGCCATTTTAGTGTATTGTAACATGATCTATAATTAAAAATGATTACATAAATGTTTACATAATTATTATTTGCATCTTAAACGCTTTACCTTCACAAGAGGGGAATGGATTATCCCACTGTCCATCTTTACCACATATCAGCACTGAACTGCCATTCAGAAACTTCCCAGGACCATCACAGCTGAACGTGAGGAAGCGGTCAGGAAGTATGGAACCTTCATTTTCCGGTAAACCTTTTACCGTAACACCTTCGTCTACGGGTGGGAGCTCGCAGCTCAAAGCTGAGTAAACACAAAGAGTCGGTTAGGTCAATGAAGGGAAAAAAGTGGGAGGACGTTGTATTTAACTCATTGTTATTTAGCATAGAAACACAGGACTCCTATAGATAATGTAACGACCCTGGATAGTTATGTCGTGACCAACAATTTAATTCATTTTAGCTTTGTTTCTGAAAAATCACGTTTTGTGGTATACATTTGCTTAAATACAGTACCACTGAGCGGTTGTAGAAGCCAGTGAGAGGTTTGAACCACAATTCAAAAAGCTTTGGTGTTGCAGTTGTGAAGAAAACACAGCACCTTAGTTGCTGAATTCATCCAAAATTGACCCAGAAAATCAAAAGTGAATTGTTTGAAGCTGCAGATTTTAAAATATTTTTTCCCCAAAGCGTAATCTTCCACCAGCCGTTGAAGCACATACCAGTGAGGGGAGCTTTCTTGCCAAAATGCACTGTGGGAGTTGTAATTAACCCCTACCTAAAAGTGTTTTAATATACACAGGTTTGTACCATTGACTTTTCATCAAACCAGAACCAGATATTTGAATATACGGTTATTAATCTATCGTACGAATGATTCAGCCGGGAGAGTTTCATGCCGATCATACGCCATAGAAGTGCTTCAACTTTGAGTTATGTAACAACGTCTATGATGTCAAAATGAACGGGAGTTTTGCTTAATAAAATCTTTCTTTGAACAAAATTGCTGCTGTGTTGTTACCAAGACTTACGATCACATATTGGCACATGATTGGTCCATTTGTCCATCAAACAAGTCCTGGTGGCATCCTTACTCACCATTTGATACCTACAAAGAACAGTACGTTAGTGTTAATCATAAATGATCGAGCAGAGAAAAACAATGTGCCAGGTTGATAGCTCTTTTTCTGTTGTCTTATACACCATTCAAAAATAGTTATGCCGCGTCTGTAACACTTTATTTGAACCCAAATATTTATAAGCAGAATATAAACAAGTAATACATAGCGTATAACACAATATAATGTAGTCGTAAGCACATATGGAAACTTTTCTTTGCTTTTAGAAATACATTTGTCACAATAACTCCTCATGTGAAACCTGTAGCTGCTGCACCAGATTGACAATATATTACAATAACATATATAATCTAACTTACACATAATCATATAAAACATTGACAATCATTAAAAACATTTAAAGAATGTCCTTATATCTGCTTACATCTACATTATACTGTGTTTTAAATAAATAATTGTTTTTATGAATCATTCCAAATGCACATACCCTGCATTACAAAAGTATTTGATTGTGGTTCCAAATACAAACTCTTCACCGTTGATAATTTCATAATAGCCATTGGGAGTTTCATCAGGAAGTTCACATGGCTTTACTGAAAGAAAAACAAAAAAAAAGAGATCATTCCTCAACCAAACATTTTCTAACATGATTTTTCAAATCCTATTTTGAATGTTATCATTTCACGCTTCTTTGATGCATTTTAGTTGAAAGCGCCAGTAAACTGACAGCGACGTGATTTCGTTTCAACTTTGTTTGTTGAATAATAACATAATAATAACTCTTCATTGTGCAGTAACCATGCTATTTGTTTTTGCTTTGAAGAAACATATTGATGTCTAGTTGCTGGAAATTGTTGCCCAAAACATAAAGCAGCATATTTCAACTCTCAGTACCATAACAGTTAAGTTATGCGATAAGTTATTCAGACATTTCCCAAATAATAGCATGAAAATATGTAATTATCATCTCGAGACAATTAATTGCACACAATAATCTGTCAAAAAACAGTCAAACAAGATTTTAGAAGAAAAGATAATGAATTCCAGCATATCAAAGGATTCACATTTGTTGTAACCTGATTACTGCGGTCACTCAAAATGGAAAGAAAGAAAGAGTCGAGCAGAAAGACATTTAACTCACAGTAGCACGTTCCTTGACCATGACGGGCTGGCAACCAGCCTCTGGTTGTAGGACTACATACATAAGTAATGGTTGGACCTGATATATAACCAGTATCACAAGTGAAATGTATCACGTTTCCCTCGTGGTAGACGGCTTTTTTGGTGTCTTCTGACACATGGGAGTGAGGAACATCTGGGAGCTTTGAACATGCTAACAAACAGCAACATGTGAAGAAAAGAGGAAATTGGTCTTCTCAACAATTGTACACTAAAGACGCCAGTCAGAGTCATATCACAACATGTGAATCAGAAGATCTTTAAATATGTGGCTGGGAAAAAACATAACTGTGCACTATACTGTAAATACGCCAACCACAACATACACACTTCAGATCCTGTTTCTTTTAACTTAACAACCATTTGCACTTTCCGAGTGTCTTACCATTCTGTGATAAAGAGACGTCCACGTTCCTCCACAGTTGGAGAAACAGAAGGATGAAAGACAATTGCATTTTGGCCAAGTCTAACTGTATTGTATGTCACAAACTGTATTCTTTGTTTGTCCCCAGCTGTAGTCCTCAGGGGGTACCAAGGGACAGAACATGGACTGCCCCGTGGGATTGCACAAGGCTTTATGAATACAACATGACGCATGGAAAAACACACAGCACGCACCTCACATAAGCAATCCTAAAAGTTCCAGAAAAGTCCATGTAGAGTATCCTCTGTGCACTGATAAATCAATCCATAGACTCTTCATAATGCACATCTTTAGTATCCAATCAAATTCATGAATGAAGTCCTGTAAGGGAATTTGCTTTTCAGCTAGAAAATATGATACTTTCTGATAACATATACACTTTTGGAACGGTCCTCAGGAAACATTTATGATGAATTGCATCAGGTTTGACCTGACAGGATCAACAACAAGGACAAAAACAAATAATATGTCTAATACACGACAGCGTAAGGGCAGCCTAATATAAATTGTTTTGATTGAAGCTGATGTTTGTGAGTATCTGCTGATGATGAAATAGTTTCTGTCCAGTTTGATTACCACATTCACTGTTTCATGAACAGTGTTGACACTTGTGCAAAGTCCATTTAAAAAATCGTTAAGTTGAACAATCAGTCAATAAAATAATTAGAGTAAATGGTACTGAGAGAGCAATACTGTTTATATTGCACTATAGTGATTCATACTTAAAAGTACATCAATGCAGGTGAGAAAATTTCACCATTGAATTTCTCAAAACATGCATCACTTTTATTTTTAGGACATTGTATTGACCAACATTCAGCTTGCTGAACCCCCATTCTGACCACTACCTATCTTCAGGTTAACTTTGTACCCAGACTGGATGTCAGCGTGTTAATGATTAACAGAGAGAAGGTTAAATGTTTAGCACAACAAACATTTCAAATCTAATTTTAAAAACTCTCCTGTTTTATTGACAGGTTACTCTACTTCACTTTTATTTTATTTGTTGCATTTGAGCAACTTACAACTTATTACTAAACTGTAACTGCTCTCTAACTGTATTTGTATTTGAATTATATTTAATTTAATGTATTTTATTTTATTCAATCTAATATTTAAAAACGTTTTCATTGCTTATCGTTTTTGAATGTCATTCTTAATGCTTTTTTGCCAACGTAAAGCACTTTAAATTGTCACTTTGTTTGAAAAGAGCTATAAAGCTGCCTTGCATGATCAGACTGAAAAAACACTATTGTGCTGATACATAAGCAAACGTTCCAAGCACCAAGAAGTTTGCTGAATCACTGCCTCCCTCTAAAACGTTGCTCAAAAGGCATTTTTCGAATTCTGTTTTCCTGGTAATTGTTATGTATGCTGCATGTCTGTAATAAAATAATGTACGTATAATAAATTACGTTATTCACAATGAATTATTGTAAAATGTTATAGAGGTGTGCTACAGAAATCACGGTTATCAATATTATTACATGTTGACAACTGTAATGGGAGTGCACTGTGTTTGATCTATAAATGCTGTTTTGTCCCTCTGGACGTGATTAGAAAGATTCCACATCATTATAAGAAGCATTTTATGTTTTATTGCTACAGTTGACCAGCATTTTACAAAAAGAGGGATTGGCAAAGTGTGTTGATTTAATGTCATTTATTCATATTTTGACAAAGGTTAACTTATTTCTTTTCCTCAGGTATTTTCATAATTGCACTTCCATGAAAAACAGTGCTGGGTAACTGAAATGTATGAGATAATCCTTAAATTCAAACTTCACATAACTGGCGAGTTACACTATTGAGGGAGACATCTGACAGTTTTAAAAACCTGAAGCTGCTGTTGACACAGTGCATGTATTCATAGGAATTGATTGGGTCTGTGGTTGTAAGAAATCTCTTCACATTTCTTTTTAAAACTACTTATTCTGCACCAACACAAAGCGTGGCACGACAATTTTAACACCTTCAACACCATTTAGTAATTAAAGGCCTGGTTTCGTAACATAATCAATAAAAAGACAAAATAAAGCCTTTGAAATGTCATTGTCTTTCATTCAATATGGCAAAGCTTTATGATTTAAAATCACTTTATTACACAGATACTTGATTCAGTCATTCAATGTCCAAAGACCATATGTATAATGTATCAAGACGATACATCAGTATGAGTAATACACACATGGCGTTATTATTGAGACTTCTTTGGACCACGAACAAAATCGGCATCACTGCTGGTTGGAAGCTGTGGGAGAAAATGTTTGTGTTCAGCATAACATGTCAACATGCAGTGGGTTAGAATATTTCAAAATAATCGGTCTAGTTTTTGCAATAAAACTCTTTCCTGACTGAAGACTTGCCCTTGTTTTGTATGAACCCCGATACCCGCGGGATGCCAGACAATTACATTATTTTTTAAAGCCAGATTGAATATATTGGTATTGTATGAAACTGGATGACCAAAGAAATCCAATGGTACCAACCTTGTTACTAGCTGGTCAGGAAGGGGGCTAAATAACACTATCAATTTTGGCATGGGAAAAATTGGTTCTCAGGGGTCCCTTGGCCTCTCACCTCAAGATATCTAAATGAATATGGGTTCTATGTCAATCCATATAAATATACAAATATTGTTGTCCAAGTAACATTGTACCAAGTATGTTTTTTTTTTTTCAATTGTGGTGTCAAACCTAATCACTATACTGTATAAACACAAAACTGGCAAACTTAAATCTCATTTTTTGTATATATTCACGCAGCATATATAACATATCTTTAAATCTGAAATCGGCTTAAAGCTTCCTGTTTGCGACTTTGTGAAATACTTTTGTACGTACACGTGTGCACGTAGTGTTTTTCTCCTCCCATCGGCCATCTTTGCATCGAATTGTGTCTGCACCCGATATAGTATAATCATGACGGCACTGATATGTTACTGCAGAGTCAGACAAGTATTCCTTCTGATATGAAGCCTGAACAACAGCATTGTCAACTTTACGTGGTGGGTTGCAAGGAACGCCAGTTGCTGCAAGACCTGAAAACACGTAGAGCATTAGGTTATGCCGTGTAATCTTTTAAATAAACACACTTAATTACATCTGATAGAATTAGACTGAAGATGACTCATGTGTACAGATTGTTTTGGGGGATACTCCATTTGAAAGCCAGTTTCCCTCGCTGCAAGTTAAGTGGTAAACCTGTGCGTGGTATCCTTCGTTACAATCAATCCGTGCGGTTTGACTTTGTAAAGGTGGAGGTGTCACGTCACCATTAGCAATCACAGGAATTTCTCCACACGTTGTATTCGCTAGAGAGATCATCATTACAAACATTTAGGTCTGTATATTGTTGCTAACAAACGTGATTCTAGCAATAACAAAATTACTTCTTTCAAAATTAGTCTGCATCAAATATGTGACATAAAAAAACAAATTTAAACTAACATATGAATTGTTCATAAGCCTATTAAAACAAAAATATGCTGCTGTGCATCCATATCAGGTATGAGGAATGGGGCAAGATGCGTTCACTGTCAATGTAGTACGTGGGAGTGGGTTCGACGTCTCTTTCAGAATCGTTCATCGTTTATATGCTTAGGAAATCTTTGCTTATTCCTTACTAAATGTTTTACTTAAAAGTGATGTACAGCTTCAAGTAGATTTTTTGGATTACTTGATGCAGGTTACAACTAGACGTGTAGTAGATTAAAGATGATTTACCAATGCAATGTTCAAATCCAAACCACCGGCCTTCATTACATTTGACCTCAGCCCACCAGCCTTTGGTAGAAAGTTTAAACCCTTCATTGCAGGTGTAGAACAGTGTGTCAATGTTTGGACTAACGCCAAATACATGTGGTACAACAGCTTTCGGACATTCCAACAGTGAAAAACAACAACAAAAATAAGTTATATTCAGATAGCATCAACGGTAAAATAGCAATTGTTGGCATGCCTACGCGCGTAACTAAGATAGTTAACATGCTGGACGCTGTTATTGTCATTTTGAATATTAGCATGCTGGCATTAGGATCAAAGCACTGCTGTGTCTAAATACAGTACAGCCTCACAACACCACTTGCAAAGCTTTAGATTCTTGGTCTGATAAAACAAGAGAGAAAACATTTACAGACTATATATCAATATCAATAAGTGCTTCAGGAGCAGCACTTATCAGACATGTCTGTGTTGATGGGAGAAACAGAGCATGAAGGAGAAATTGTTCAACAATACACATCTTTAATTTTGTTACTGTGGGTTATCAAATTAATATTGCATTTTAGATTTTTTTAGCTGTTAGGAGATATTTACCATTTCTATTGCTATCAAAACATAGAAACTCCAGTCACACATTATCCCTAAAACAACTATATTTGTTGTACCGTTATGTTCTTACCTGAACAGTTCTTTATCCCTGTCCAGCCATCTTGCTCACAGGTAACAGTAAAAACTGTTTTATTGTCGTTCCTGCATTCATATTGGACATGTTCATTGGGCCTGTAATTATCCTTTTCATTGTTGGTAATTTGTGCATTGTCGATGTGAAGTTTTTTACACGGTGTCCCTGAAACAAAGTCAATAAAATTATGAATTACTTACCAAACCTTCCAGGTTTTCGGGATAAATTCAAATATTTTGAAACAATTTAATTTCAGAAGGAAGCAAGGTACTTCTCATGTCAGACCTTGTGGTGCTCCAGAATGAGCACCACAGAATATTGATCATTTAACAAAACTCTCATAATATACACATGTATAACCCGTTAAGGATGAAAAAAAAAGGAAAGCTATTTTGGCCAGACAAGTTGTAACGATGGAAATGAGGCATGGAGCTGTAGGTTAATGAGTGCTAACTATTTGTCTGTTCAAAGTAGATTATTAGTTTTAAATTAAATAAAAAACATGTTTGACATTTTGCAATAGAGAAAAAAGATAAAATAAGATGCATGCTCAAGACAATTGTTAGAAGAACAGGTGGCAGATCTTAGCGAACCACTAAC